AGGTGATAAGCGGCTGAACAGATCGGGCGGACTGGAGGTCGCTGGTGTGGCCGACAAAATGGCAAACGACACGCACGCCTCAACCCTCTGCAAGGCCGAGAGAGAAACGGAGATCAGACTCACCTGCATTTTTGACGCCTTCTGGGAGAGGATGGAACAGCTTGCGTGGCCCCCGGAACCGGGGACCCAGCCTGAAGCTACGCCACACGGCCCACTACGAGAGGCCCAAGAGAATGTCCCGGCACACGCCGTAAGTTCCCTTGCTGGGCCCCACAGGCGCCTGAAAATGACCAACCCGATGTCGGGTGAACAGAGTCACACCAAGAGTGAACGAGACCAGGCACAGGCAAAGCATCTTAAGCGGACCCCCAAAGCACAGCGCAGAACACCGCCTTGCTCCCCGACAATGACCCAGCCTAAGAGGAGCAATGGCCAACTCATCCATACATGCAAGTGGCAGACCAAGAGGCCTAAAATGGCGGCAGCAGCAGCACAAATCTACAGCCACAGCTACAGCCAACGAATACACCGGCATGTGGGAACCACAACTGGAGCCACATTATACATACCGACTAGGTCCTCTCCCCACACTGAGACTCTCTTCTCCTACACTGCTGGACCACAGGGAATGCGGCACGCACCATCGCTGCAACTACCGGCGCAGGGGGAGCACACCCAGCCCCAACAAGGCATCGGCTGACCAATACAAGACTGGGACTCAATGTTAGGCACAGTGCCCAATATTCATCACCTCTTAACACCCGAGGTTGAACTCTTATACCTGTATGCATGCAATTCAATAGCCCTTTAGTTTATGCCGGGGACCGCAGGGGGCATAGGGACCAAGCGACTATAAGCTAAGCTTTTCTATGTATAGCCTCACTAATCTGATACATAAGTTAGTTTAGCGTACGTACCTTTCTAACCTACAACTGTTTATTAAGCATGATCACGATAGCTATGTTTCTAGCTAGGCATAACGTTTCGTTGCTCCTCTTCTACTCATGTCTTTAGAAAGAAAGTTCATTTTGCTTATCATAATGTTTAGCAATTCAGCAGGTTAATAATCTATGACAGTCATGTCAATTTATTTCTCGTAAACACACATCTTGCTATTGTTACTCGCATTTACCAACCAGACTTACTCATCATTACTCTAACAATTTAAAAATGTGCGCAGTTTAACCCCACGTCACAGTATTGTATAACTATGCTTTAAGTTTTTGCCTTTGTTCCATCTCTCAAGCCTGCTATCAGGCAGCGAAGCGCAGATTCAATATAAGTTACCTAACTGCTAAGCAAGACTAGCCTGCAAAAGCGTGTGTGTTATCCATGGTTTAACCTTTAACATGTCTCCTATCTTGAATATAAAAAAAATAAACTGTGCTATGTATTTCAATGGCATACCTATGTTAATGTATGTTTTCAAACCTGCTTGCACCTGCTATTGTGGCGGTACAAGCATGATTGTTCAAGCTATGCACAAATAAAATAAAGAATTAAAAAAAAAAAAATAATATTTTGAATGAGTGACACGTCATATGTTTTTAGGTCATTTATGTTTCTACGATTTGAAACAAAGACATGGTCAATTTGCTAGGGGTTATATACATAGGCAAACTAAAGGTAGTTATGTAGTTACTTGCTATATTGTCTGGAATAAGAACTATAGGACTAACATTATCTATATGTCCAAAGACTTTTATAATTTATTTAATCAATGTCATCTTCTTAATTATCATATGCTACACCCACCAAATCTGATTGGAGAATGTTAAATACATGTATTTAAAAACTGGGTCGGCAGCTCGGATTGAAAATATGCAGTAATTCTTAGGGTATTAATCTTGTAATTGATACATTTTTTTCTTGAAAGTCAGATAGTAATCAAAACATACTATCTCGTAAATACGTGTAGGTTTTTCTTGTGCAGATATAGAGGTTACTTGAGTACTTATGATATTATTTGTTTTATTATTGTGGTCTACGTAATATTATTGCACAACAATATAGCTAGATATAGCTATTGTTAGTAACATATTCTGAATGTGTTTGCATATTGTCAGTTTACAATTCCAAACTTAGTAGTTTAGTTGCTAAGTGGATTGGAACAAGTTAATTTGGTTTGCAACCATTTGTAGAAGTAGATGGGTTTTTTTTAAGAATTGTCTATGTTTCTTTATTGCAGGAGATATGGTAATATGATACCCTGTCAAATTATGGTGAAGAACATTAAATGTCATTGCAATATGTTTTGTTGAGTAATTGCATGCATTGCTGACAGATATTTCGAGCCAGCAACTGCACTGCTTTTTATCCATATTTTTATTATCATTCTATGGAAATTATATTATTACATGCTTGAACTAGTTTACTTTCTTACATGTTGTACGATCACTGAATATGTTGCTATTCTATAAATGGTTATTGTCACAATAAACTATATTTTAATATAATATGGTTATTGTATGCTATATTGTATTGAATTTTAAATTAAGCTGATCTACAAGAAATTATGGTCAGAGATAAAATACTAGATCTCTCTTCAATCAAATCAAAATGTGGGTGTGATCATATAATAATTACCATGGCTATATTAATAATAATATTAATAATTATTCATATTTTTAAATATGAATACAATTGTTACATTTTCGTAATTTTCACTAAATATTATTTGTTATATTTTTAGGGGATAGGGCCTGTTTTGTGCTTTGGGGGAATGTAGTGCATTGGAAGGGCTGATATGGGCTGTAGTGGAGGGCACATATTAAAAAAAACATTGCTTACCTTGGAAAACCTCATCTTATGTGGTCTAGTGGGTGCAGCTTCAGGTCTGCACCTCCAGTGGGTGCAGCTTCAGGTCTGCAGCTCCTGGTGGTAACCCAGGGCAACACTCACCGGAGCAATACACAACGTCAATACCCTCTAAGGTGCAGACCACAAGGTCACTAAGCCCCACAGAATTAAAATTGGCTGTCCAGTGAGGGAGAACTTTGATCTTGCTGCAAGCGGTGGAACTTCCTGTCTGGCCCAGCACTCAGTTAGTGTCAGCCCTTTGATCTACCCTGTTTTGATCAGCAAAGGGCCATCCATTTTGCCAGTCCAGGCCTGTTCACAATGAAACATACAAACAGACACACAATGAGGCATACAGTAACACACATAGATACACAATGCAACACAGACACACACACTGACACAAACAGATACACATTGTTACTCACACAAATAAATGAACAAAACTTATATTTTAGCCACCCTCCTTTTTAAAGGGAAACTCCAGTGCCAGGAAAACAATCTGTTTTCCTGGCACTGCAGGTCCCCTCTCCCTCCCACATCCCAATCCCCGGTTGCTGAAGGAGTGAAAGCCCCTTCAGTCACTTACCAGAGGCAGTGACATGTCCCACGTCGCTGCTTCTTCCTCCACCGCCACTCCTCCTCTACATTACGTCGGCAGGTGGGCGAGACCGATCCCGCCCACCGGCCGGGGAGACCTAATGCACATGCGTGGCAATGCTGTGCATGCGCATTAGAGCTCCCCATAGGAAAGCATTGAAAATGCTTTTCAATGCTTTCCTATGGGGAATTGAGCGACGCTGGATGTCCTCACACAGCGTGAGGACGTCCAGCGACACTCTAGCACAGAAAATCTGTGCTAGAGACACGGAAGTGCCCTCTAGTGGCTATCTAGTAGACAGCCACTAGAGGTGGAGTTAATCCTGCAAGGTAATTATTGCAGTTTATGAAAAACTGCAATAATTACACTTGCAGGGCTAAGGGTAGTGGGAGTTGGCACCCAGACTACTCCAACGGGCAGAAGTGGTCTGGGTGCCTGGAGTGTTCCTTTAATCTTTTTTAGCCACCTCCTATAACCTCCAATCCAGTACCAGCACTTTATTTAGTCAACCTCAATACAAGAAGAAAGCAGACCGATCCTCCTTTTCCTACAGAGTAAAAGTCCACCTTCCAACAGGACAACAACATTAAGATCACAGCCCAGACAACGAAAGAGTGCATTAGGGACAACTCTGTGATTGTCCTTCAGTGGCCCATCCAGAGGATGGATTAGAACCAAATTAAACATCTTTATTGAGATCTGAAAGTAGCTGTCCCTGACAATACTCATCCAACCTCTCAGAGTTTAAGACAAACTGCAAAGATGAATGGCAGAAACTACCCAACTAATCCAGTTGTCAAAGCCTGTTGCGTAATACCCAAAATGACTGGTGCCAAAGGTGTTTCAACTAATTACGGAGTTAAGGGTCTGAATACTTATGTCAATGTAATGTTTTTATTTTTTTCTGTTTAACATAGTGGTGTCAAAAATAAGTTTTTGCTTTTTTATTATGGGGTATTGAGTGTAGATTGATGTGGAAAAAAATTATTTAAACAATTATAGCATTAGGGTACAACATAAAAAATATTTTTAAAAATTAGGAACTGGATACTTTCTGAATGAACTGTATGTAGTCCAGCTAGGGGAAATATTTGTATTATCCCTATCTGCTTATTAATCTCAAATTTCCTATCCCCTCTTTATTGACATATTTACAGTGGGAGAGGCATATGGTGTATTTGCCCCTCTAACGGCAATGGCTCACATAGGCACTGAAGATAATAATAAAATTGTAGTGAATTAAATCCAAATTGCAAAACTGAGGCTAGTATTGCCAAGCTGTGACTATAGCTTAGTTGTTGGGGGTGGGGGCGGGTGTTAGATCATTTTAGCCTCCGTTTTTAATTTAGATTTGTATTCACTACAATTTGATGTTTTGTGAATAACCTTATTTGTGTTGTAAAAACAGTTTGCTCACATACAAATGAAGCACATTATAATTATAATCAGGATTTTAGAACTCAGGAGTCACGAGCTCCAGAATATGCACAGGCATGAATTTATATATTTTTTAACATCAGCACCAATCCAGTGGCTATTAATACACCTTGCATTTTGCTCAAACGACCACTAGATGTCGCAAAAATAATCCCGGACATTTGTAACAATGCGACTAAAAAGGATACTGTCTCTCTTCTGTCTTGTTGAAAATTGAAGTGATTTTCCATCGGATTTGCAAGACTTTCCCGACCTCCCCTGATGTAACCACAGGTCAGAATCATAACAGTCTGAAACTATGCATTCTGCAATTAAATGTTTATGATTTCAGTGTTTATGGTCCTGTAGATCTGTTTGATTTATGGAATGCCATCCTTTGTTTACTGCTCTGGACACCTTTACCCAAATCACAGAATGAGAAGTATCGTAGCACTGTTTGAAGTGTAATGTGAGCCTGGAACGACTCTGAATATGGCTGGAAGACATTGCTCGGTGTTTTTAGAGAAAATATTTCCCTTGATCTCATGTTTGATGAATGCTAATCTGAAGACCTCCAAAGAAGGAGTGGATCTCTCAACAAGAGCTTTATCTGCAACACATCTGACCTGGTAAGTATATAGCTTGCACTGTTTATTTGCTCTAACCATAACATCTTAAAATATAAAAACAGATATGCTTAATATTTACATGAAATTGCTTTCAATCACAGTATCTGTCGCATTACTATATTCTCATTTCTCTCTTTCCTGTCTATCATTTACCATCTGTAGATCCTTTTCTGTACAAACCTACCTACATGTCTGCAAACACAGATATGTATAAAGAGAGAAGGGGGTGGAGGAGAACACAATCAATTTAAATATTTATGTTAGACATGGTACATATAATAAGGACTCATTTGCAGAGGAAACACGAGAAAATTCTGGGGCAAACTCTTTATGGATGAGTAACTGCCATAGCAACCAACTGAACATTTATCCCCATATATTACATTTTGCTGTGTGATTATTTAAGTTTTTTGTCTGGCTGAAAGGGTATTGTTTGCTTCTTGTTTTTATTTTTATTTGTTTTCATAGCTTTAAATCTACAAAGATGGTGATATTGTCATGTAATTTTTGTGCAGTTACACTTATTTACATTTAGAACTAAGTCTTGTTGTAAATTGTAATTAATTTATTAATTTACTAGAGAAACAAGTAATATTATTGGACCAGGTACTATTCTTTCAGTTGCATCATATAAGTATTCCATAGATTCCTAAAAAAAAAAAAAAATCTAAGACGCCTCAGATGCACTGTTATTATTGATTATATATTGCTCATATTTGTTATAAGCTGCATTGGCTGATTGAACAACGAAAGTCAACAGTTGATTGACATCACTGATCTCTAATATTATTTTTAACATTGTTTTAGTACTTGTTATAGTACTTTAGGATGTGATATAAACTGATACATTTTGACAAAAGACATAGCTAGAAACTGATCTCAGTCAATATTATTATATTTAGAATATGTCAACATCTGCAGCACTGTACAATAGATAAATTAAATATACAAGTAATTTGTGATAAACAAATTAAGACGTATGAACAAACACCCAATAAAGAAACCATACAATCTAAACCAGTTATGTATAATGAAACAAAAGGTAAATTACACATTATCTAGAAGACAGAATAGATTAACAGGTGTGTAATTTGTATATAATTATTATAGTGTATATAGTAGTTATATAAAGGTATAATGGGATTAGCTGAGACTGTGGAAGAAAAGGAGGAATTAAACAGATGCAGAGGGATGAGTTAATCAATAATTTTTTATGGTTACCTAAAGACTTTTTGGGGGATTTTTTAAGACAGGATGCTAAAGGCAATGTCAGGAAAAGTATGGATTTAATTAAATAAGTGTAATAAACTCCTCTATGTAAAAGATAGAGCTGCAGAGCCAGCAGAGGACAGTCCAAGGTCACCATCAATAGTATGGAATTTTGCTGATAAGAGATTTAGCTTGGAGTACAGCTGTGGAGAATCAGAATTTTAAAAGTATAATTTTTATATGTGCTATAGTTATCCAGATTAATATCGCATAATATAATTAAAAGGACACTCCAGACCCTTCAAGCACTTCAGTTGGATGGATTGCTTTATGTGTGAAGAATGTGTTCTCTTTTACGTTTTACAAAATATGCAGATTTCAATATAAATTGTCACTTTTATAATTTAACCTGTTACTTCCTGGTTTGGTTAACTCAGTGGAGCTAAACTCAAGAGGCAGCAATTGTCCAGAGCACTTGTCTGGTAAAGACATATCATTAAACTGACTTGGGAAGTTTATGAATGGACAGCCACAGAAAGTTTAGGCTGGGTTATGGGGGGAGGGTTTGCAAATGCAAGGGGTCTGCATTTTTTTGCAATCTGTTTTTAGTTTTTTCCTCAAAGAAACATGTCATAATTAAATGTTTATACATGGTTTCATTTCGGGTATATCTATTAAACAAGGATTTTTAATTTTGTTTGAAGTTGGGTAGTGGAGTGTCCCTTTAACTATAAATGTGAGTCATCCTTTTTCACCCTTAAAAATATGTGGGTTAGTGCTAGCAGTGCACTGTATAACACTAATGACACTTGAGGGACGGTTAGACAGCGTGGTAGCTCAGAAGACTTGCAGGATGGGTTGACAGGCACATTTTAATGCCAGCCAATCAGGACTGCCTAATTTTAATGCCAGCCAATCAGGACTGCCTATGATATCAAGTAAGTAGAAATCTCTTCTATATGCTTCAGAGAGAAAATAAGCTTACTAGAGTTCAGGGTTGATATCTTGTGGTCTTTGGAGGGTATGTGAATAAACATAACATCACAGCTATAGAAATATATTTAAAGGGACACTTCACTGCCCAAATACAAAATAAATAAAACTCACTGTTTAGTATATATCCCAAATGAAAACTTGCATGCATTTAATTATGCATTTTTGTCGTTGGAGTTATATCTAAAAAACGATTCTAAAACCTGCTGATCTTTTGTCTGCTGCCTTTGCAAGTCCTCCCCTTAAAACCCTATCCACACTTTCTGTGACTGTCAAGTCCCAGACTTCCTAATGCAGCTCAATGACAAGTCTTTGCAAGGCAGGCGTGTGACAAAAATCTGTATTTTCTTGTCCCAGTTATTTTCCCTGCATTCAGTAGATGTATCTGCCGAACACTGACCACCCCCTGGCTCATTGAACTTCAAAGAAAACCACAATCTTAAGTGCTCTCTCTATGTAGAAAATGGCGGCCATCTTGTCTCCTGAAAGCAGACAGAGGTACCTGGTCATCGAGTGTCTGGAACTCTAAAGCGAACACTCGACCCCTCGAACACAGGTGATTTGGTATGAACACCTGCTTCTTTCCATGGCAAGCCAGGGGAGCGCTGTTCGATAGGATTGTTCACACGAATAAGGCGAACAATCGCTACCTATGAGCCAGGGGAACTGTTCGGCTTTTGGTTCGTTTTGGAACTCCCGAAGGTGACCAACCGTTTCCCCTGATTCTCTGGAACTGATTTGGGCAGATGCCATGTGTGCGTTCGATCAAAACTTTACACCGGTGGCGATTCGGCTGTGTTCGTGGGATGTGAGCGCTATTTAGATATGTTGGGCGCTCAGATTCAGGCTATCCGGAGATATAATATTTGTATGGATTCCTATGTATATTATATGCATTTTGGATATTTTATGTTCTCACAACTTGCTTGGATTTCAGGAGAGTACAAACTAGAGAACTATGCGAACGGGCTATAATCACTTAAGCCTCTAGCATTTCGGGAGGGTGCAAATGAACGTACTTCATGAAGTACATGAGGTCCATTACAAGGTGCTCTGGGCAATTGAGTTCGCCTCTTGAGTTCAGTGCAACTATGCTAACCAAACGAGGAAGTAACAGGACATGTTGTCTGCTTAAAAAGCTAGGGGAGTAACCAGTGTAATTTATAAAAGGGTCACTGTGTATTGAAATCTGCACTTTTATCAAAATGAAAAAAGAGGACACACTCTTCATACATAAAGCTCTTTAGCAAGCTAATGGGCTTTAGGAGTCTGAAGTGTTGTTTAAAACAAAAACATTATGCGGTTTACCAATATTTTCAACAAAATCACAAATATGTTAGTATATTCATAGCAAAGAAGAGCATAGAAGAATTTGGGACTGGGGACTTTATAACTCAGAGCATAATCCTACTCACTTTGAGACAGCAATATTGGAGTATAAGTCAGTAAAGCAGACTATCACCTGCCTTTATCAGCTAATGTTTTTTTTTTAGAGAGACAGACAGGCAGGCAGAGAGATAAATATGTATAGTTAAGGAACACTTTAGTGTTAGGAATACCAAACTGTATTCCCAACTCTAAAGTGTTCCGCTGCCCTCTCTCACTTCCCATGGAGGATTTGGAAACACCAGACATCCTCATTCAAAGCGTGAAGATATCCAGCATTGTTTCACAGTGTCAAACAGCCAATATAGGCAGTTTTAGATTGCAGGGTTAAGGGGAAAGAGACCAACCTTTGGGACTTAATGAAGGTTTCTCCTTCTCTCCATTAATTTAGAGTCCCCTTTCCTCCCCCTTACTCCCTGTTCTATTAACTTTATTAGTTCCATTAACTAATTTTACCGGATTTGACATATCCCACCTCAATGGATCATAATACCTATTCTGGATTCTGCTCTTTATCTATTTCACTGTCATTTTTCAATTGTTTATTGTTCTTGTTTGCATCCACTTATATCTTTAACATTTCCTGGCAATTTATATGAGCCTCTCCTATCAAATTTGTGTGTATATATATATTCTATATCCCTGATTTATTTGACCCTCTTCACTGTAAGGCATAATCTGCTATCTGTGGACATATGGATGAAAATTACTTTATACCTGTCATGGAGGTTTGGTCATTAGACACAGAAAAATTTTCTCTGGTGGTATATACCTAAGGTTGCACACATACATATGTGTTTGCCAGGGCTAATGTACCCTTAAAATAGATAATTTTAACTGATAAATTAAGTTAAATGATAGATGATAGACAGACAGTGGATAGACAGGTAAGCATTTGAATATGTATAATAACCCCCAAAGTTATTTGAAAATTAATTTATTGATCCTTCTGTGACTAAATAGTATATGTACTTTTCACTGGCCATGTGACCAAGCATTTCAAAGATTACTTTAAAAAAAAAAAAATAGAATTATATTAAAGTAATGAGAGGTCTGTACCTTTAAACCACATTTGAAATGTGTATTCATTGTTAATTTTTTCAACAAGGAAAAATGCAGCTCTTTTTGTGTCTAACTACTGTAACTCTTAGAATTGGATTGTAACTCCTACTTACAGAGAGCAAGCCCTGTTTATTTGCTTATTTAAATAAGTCTATATGTGAATCCATCTCCCACTGGGATTCCCCTATTGAATTATACAGATACAATCCAGTATAGGTGAGATTGCAGACTTTTAAGTTCATTTTTTATTTTATTTTTTACCTTACAATAGCTCTATATTATTTTTGCTGAGTTACTGGTATAATGCCTGTTCTTCCCTGAATCTTCACAAACAAGATTATATTAAAATTATTTTAATGCAATTGATTTGTATCCAACCACCCTACATAGGCACAATGCAAAAAATCCTAAAAGTTAGGGGAATTGGATGTATGCTTACACTTGAATAGTCAGAGGCTTGGCCTATTAGGCTTTGAAATTCAAATCTGACCACAACCACATTGGGGTGAAGTGTGTCAACTAAGAATATATACATTTAACTTTTCCTCCAGTTTACACCTACATTCAGGGCTTTCTCTCTATAAGTAGGAGTTACAATCCAATTCTACAGACGAATAGGGGTAAAGCCCCGAGACACCACTGGAGTGTCTCGTTGGTGTTTTATTTTCAGAGCAGGGGATTCTGCACTAGCAGACCCCCCTACTCTGATTATTTTTCCCTATATACTGTAACTCTTAGCAAGCAGTGTGTGTGGCTTGCAGAGGTTTACAGTAGTTGTAACCTAAAGACATCAGCAGCTTAGTATTTACCCTACATGTATTTATTTGAGAACCATAGTCATAGTACAACTCATCTACCTGGTAGAGGGTCTATGGTGCCAGCTTACAATGAACATACATGTGCCCAGGACGTACAGTCAACAATTTACTCTTTCTATAAATATTTACACTTTGGCAGTAAGTCTGTGCTCTGAGATTTGATAAATATCACACGTGCACACTCAGAACAGCCATGGGATTATGTGAATGATCTATGTTTCCCATGGGTGCTTTGGGAGCTTCATGACACTCTCAGACAGACGGAAACAAGAGGATGGAGGGAGAGAAGGAGGAGGGATTCTGCATTAGGCCTGCAGCAGCTTAATTTAATGCTTTCAGTTATGTGATCCTTGGAGGAGAATAGCTACAGGGTTACAAAATTATTCCCCCAAACTGGTCCTTTGCATTTGTTGAGGATGCGACTGTGTTGCTAGGATACAGGTGGAGATAAGGTATCTTCCCTCAGCTAAGGTATCCAGGTAAGTATATTGCATGGGAGCTAATGATACTGATCTCATCACTTGCACATTGTACCCAAAGTCGATACAGTGCAGAGGGACAGGGCAGGATGTAGAGATTTTATAAAGCATGAAGATTGTGCAGAGCTGGGAATACAGCCTTCAGATTATAGATGATACATTATGCATGTGCATTTGAAATGTGCTCCTGGTAGTGAATTTGTCTCAGATTAAATTAAATAGTATGTGGACAGGATATTGCAGGGTTGTAGTCAAGGTCATGCCTTATTTTTATTGTTGCAGTTTCAAGAACTATGGGAGATGGTGCTGCCTCTCTAGGTTAGTTATCATTCAGGAAGGAAAATGTTAAAACTGCAGTGATATTTCTTTACCTCTGCAGCATGGTCCAGAGCTGGGCAATCATTTAATGGTGCAGGCTGCTGTCTTAATCTCCACAGGCAGCAGGATGTCTTTGCTATATGACATGCTATCTTTTGCAGTGTGAGAATCACTATAGATCTCTCTGTGACAATGTTTCTCTTGAATTAAATGAACGCTCTTTAGGAAAATGATGGAGGGTGACAGGAGGTGGTTTTTAGTCGAAGACTAGAGGTCATTCTGGCTAGAAACTGCAGATTGTGCAATGCTAAAAAAAGTTATTTATGTGTAGACACTGTAATATTTAGCAAGGTAAGATACATTTTAAACAGATTCATTATTTTGAGTCTTGTGTGCCGAGTGTAGATCTTCCAGTAGAATTGGTATATCTATTTTGCCATCAGAGGTTTAATCTTGTGTTGCCATAATTATGATATGTGATCGTTGATGTGTAAATATTATATGCGCACATTAATTCTTTCTACTGTATTTCTCCAGATGTCCCAACCTATTGTCCCTGTAACATTTTGTAATTGTTACATTTTCTCATTTATAATATTGTGAAGCATTGCAGAGTAAATTGGTGCTATATAAATGCCAATAATAATAATTTTTAATAAACATGCTTAAAAACAACAGTTTATATACATACATATTTCTGTTTAAAGGAATACTCTAGCATTCAAACATATATTCCTGATGCTAGAGGGCTATACTAACTATTTTGATTGCTAGCCCCCCTTTATTCAAGTTAAGTGAATATTGTTGCACTGAGGATAAGTGAACGGTTAAAAATGGAAGCAATGGGAGACCCCAACACTTCCTTCCTTTAATCCCTCTGGCAACTGTGTTTAGTAGGAATTATATTAAATCCCCCCCATAGGACTTCTCACCCACTGCTATGGATGAGTGGTTAAATTACAGGAAAGATATATATCCTAAGCTAAGCAACTAAAAAAATAAAAATAAAACTACCTACCTCAGACCCCCCACCTGCCTTGACATGGGTAGGGTTAGCTAGTGGTTGCTTGCTATTATTAAAGACTAGCTATCATGCAGTTATTGCTACCCATTTACTAATTCAGTAAAGGGGTTTCAGGCACAGATCCACACAGGTGGGTGGAGGGGGGTTGTATAGTAGTGACCCCACCCCATGCCTATAACCTTGGCTAGCAGGAAGTGACTATTAAAACAATGCACAGAGGACCTAGTGTACCCCAGGTTATTATTTTAGAGCCCCCACCCACCAATTCATTCTGCTTAAATACTGGCTATCCACCTGTCCTCCCAGCAATAATAACACTCAACGCCCTTCTCCTACAGTACCCTTAATTGTTTCAGTTACCATTGACTATATTAATTACAATGTTTTTGCCATCAGTTTTTTTCTCTTTTTCTTTTTTTTTTCTCTTCCTTCCATTTACTTCTTTAAAAACAAAAAGCAAAACCTAGCCATTTTCGGGAACTGCAATAATTTTGGACCTTCACCTCAAACCTCAACCCTTAGTCACTTATGTGATTTACTGGCGGGCACCAAAACAAAAAGAGTGACATACTGTATATGCCAATAAAAATGCAATATACAATTAAAAAATCATTAACACATATAAGGGCAAATATCAGATATGTCCAGTAGTAGGAATGGGGATACTAAAGTAATTACTGAACGTTATCAGTTACTTAGAACCATGACACTATTTAGTCATTAGAATTGCACAGGAAATGTAATACAATATATATGGGTGGACCGAGGACAGAATAAGGATACCAAAGCATAAAACAGCATGGCAAAAATATTAAGCAGGTCAGTCAAATCTACCACCTCAGCACAGCACAATGCCCAGGGGTCAAGTCCTGGGGGGGAAAAGCGTGGGAACTCACCCAAGATCACCCCACCACCACCACCACCCAAAAGCATCTTCACCTGTGTACCTCTTAACCAGTCTTTTGTTTCTTATCCCCTTTTAGATATATATTGAGATATAGGCTCCAAGAACCATTTAGTGTATCTTACCCCTATTTTTCCCCATTGTATGTCTTACACCTCCCTTGTGTATCTCTTACAACCCCCCTTTGTGTGTCTTATTCACCCCAGCCCCTTTGTGTATCTCTTTCTCTCCCAGCCACTTTGTGTGTTTCTCTTTTACCACAAGCCCGTCTATCTCACCCCAGCCCCTCTGTGTCTCTTTTTCCTCTTCTCCAGCCCCTCTGTGTCTCTTCACCCTTAGCCCCTTTGTATTTCCACCCCAGGCCCTTCTGTGTGTCGATTTCATCCCCAGCCCTTTTGTGAACTTTCTCACCACAGGCCCATCTGTGTGTCTTTCTCCCTCCTCAGGCCATCTGTGTATCTTTCTCCCCACTCAGGTCCCCCTTTGTGCCACCATCCCCTCCATCTCCCGTAGTGTTCCTCTCTCCTCCCCTCTATGTTCATTAGTGTTCCTCTCCTCCCCTTACCTGTCTCTTAGTGCCCCCCTCTGACTCCCATCATGCTGAGCCCCCACTGGACCCCAGGGAAAGTCACCTTCCTGCAAAAGGTAGGAAACAGGAGGGTGACTTAAACATTTTGTGTATGTGTGTGTCTCTCTGTGTGTATGTATGTGTCTCTGTATGTATGTGTGTGTGTGTGTTTATTTATGTGTCTCTGTATGTGTGTGTCTGTATGCATGTGTGTCTGTCTGTATGTATGTATGTGTCTTTCCGGGGGGGTCTGTCTGTACGTATGTGTGTGTGTGTCTGGGGGGAGGGGCCATGGATAGGGGCACAGCATGGATCGGGGGGGGAGGGGGCCCACGGATCAGTTTTGTACCAGGGCCCCATAGATTGTGTGTACACCACTGGTCCATAGTGTTCTTTCCCTCCCTCCCCTTTCCAATAGTGTGTTTTACCCCTCCCCTTTCCCATAGTGTTCTTTCCCACCTCCCCTGTTCTATAGTGTTCTTCCCCCCCATTGTGTTCTTTCCCCCCTTCCCTGTCCCATAGTGTTCTTCCACCCCATCTCATTGTGTTCCTTACCAACCCCGTCCCCCATCCCATAGTGTTCCTTACCACCCCACCTCCCCTTTCCCATAGTGTTCCTTACCGCCCCACCTCCCCTGCCCCATAGTGTTCCTTACCACCCCCCCTCCCCTGTCCATAGTGTTCTTTACCACCTCCCCTGTCACATAGTGTTCTTCCACCCCATCACATAGTGTTCTCCTAACCCCCCCCCTCACCCATCCCATTGTGTTCCTCTTACTACCCCCCTCCCCCCGTCCCATGGTGTTCTTCCTTACCACCCCCCACCCAAAATGTTCATCTTTACCACCCACTCTCCCTGTCCCATAGTGTTATTCCTTTCCTGTACTCTGCCGGACTGACAGGAAGTGCTCTCTCAGTGAGCACTTCCTTTCAGTCCAGCCAGGAACAGGAAACTGAAGCTCCTGGACCACGGTGCACACTGCTCCGCTCGGCCACACTACACAACATTGATTGGCTAATGGAGTAGGTGTGGCAAGCATAAGAAATATGGAGGAAATTATGCGCAAAAAAACCCAAAAAATACAAATTCACATTTGCCTGGCAAATGTGTGACTGGCAGGTCACTCTGATCTAGTGCCCCCCCGGGCCAGTGCACACTAAGATGGCCGTTTGTGCCGCCTTATGTACGTGCCGGCAGTGTCTGCAGGACTAACGGCAATGGCGTAACTGCTGTGGAAAAAGTGCAGGAATGCTTTTCCCATGCGTTCCTGTAGGATTCGAGCCCTAACGATGCCCCTCAGTTAGATAAAAAGGATAATAGAACATGTGTATAGATATTGCACTAGCAGACCTAAAAAACAAACAAAAAACTTTATTAGCCAACATGTAATCACAATACATCCAAGAGTATATGACAACTAAGTAAAAAAAAAAAAAAGTGTTCTATACATGTGAGTTAAAAGTTGGTAGAGGTATGAGGAGAATCCAGATTGTCACATCACTGGACAGCAGAGATATAGGCTCCAAGAACGCTGGAAGATCTTAAGCCCATCATATAGCATGCCACACCCCCACCTCCCCCCCTTCGCTGCAAGTTAGTAACATGCCCATTGGTCATCTGGAGCAGTGATGCCTAAAAGCTAGATCCCCAGATGTTGGAGAACAATATGATGCTTTTGCATGCCTTTAAAATGCTTCCGAATGACTAAGTATCATAGAAGCTGTAGTTTAAAAACATCTGGGCACCTTTAGGGCTCCCCTGTTCTAGAGTGACATTGAAGAGGTTCTGATAGAAGGATATAAATGATCCCTGGAATTGTCATGTTTGTCAGCATTTATCAGCTGCTTTGTTACTGTGAAAGAGTGGAGACAACAAATAACATATTTTGGGGGACCATCAGGTCTCGGAGACCTTATAAGGACACTCTGAAACCCTAGAGCAGTTTAGCTTGCTGGAATGCTGTATGTGTGAAGAGTGTGTCCTCTTTTTCATTTTACAAAAAGTGCAGATTACAATAGAAATAAATTATACTTGTTAAAACCACTTGGCTTTCAAGCAGACAACCAGTCCTGTTACTCCCTGGTTTGCTTAGCTCAGTGGAGCTAAAACAAAATAAAATGTAAAGTTGTAAAGTCAGAGAGTTTGTCAGACTGGAGTAATCCCAAAATAATGAACATTACAAACCAAAACGAGAGAACAAGGAAAACCCCAGCTCAAACAATCTAAAACATAACTTTTAATATTCATAATGAACATACGCATATTAAATAAGCAGAAAAGAATCTTGATAAAGTCCTATAGATATATATCAGATGTCTTACAGACAAAACAGAAACAAAACAATGTGTATGGATACTAGATAAATCAATATCAAAGGACTAATCTGAAAACAAGTATCTTAATCCGTTTAGGCTTAGTTATGAATTATGGGCTAAAAACACCCATGTATTAAACATCATATTTACAATATTAAAGGGTGCTGGAGTACACTGGAGCTGCAAAAACGTAGTGCAGACAGCGTGGTGAGTGACTCTGAGACCTGTGTGGAGTACCAGGCTTTCAATTTCTGACCATTTTCATTCTAGACTGCATTGTGTCAGATAGCATGCACATCTGATATATAACAGAATTTAGCAATTAAAACACATTATAAAGAAGGATTGTTATAATTGTGCAGTGGTAGAAGATAGGAACAGCTTGTACCTAGATGCTGAGATAAGGATAGCTGTGATTAATTACATTATTACTATATATATATATATATATATATATATATATATATATATAAGGAACATATAAACAAAAACAAAAAAGAACTGATAGACTATGATGACAGATAAGAAATTATCTAGCCGATCGTACATACATTAAAGCAGCACGTAGATTTTATTACTGTTTGTAGTGTAAGTGTGTGTGGAACTAAGGATTTATTTGCAGCTAGTAGATCAATACCTTTTTATGTAATGAAAGACGGATAGTGGTTATAAGACAAAAACAACACTTTTATCATAGTTACTTCCCCATTGAATCTTATCATAGACAATAACTGTTCATTCAAGAATTTCTTCTACTGGGCCCCAATGATTTCTATTAGTGGTCATGGCCACATACCATAAGGAGCACAGCATGTGAAATACTGCAACCTCTGTTTTCGTAAAAAAAAAATTCTGCTGGTCCCTGCAAGGAAATGCTCAAAGAATGTATGTATTTATGATATTACAGATGGTTTAAGTCTGCATCTGGAAAATTGTTGTACATACTGCATTGCCTCTATAGATAATTCATGGGAACATGGTTTTCCCTTGTTTTTTTTTCGGAACAAAATCTCAACATCTTGTAACTTAGCCAAGATTTTCATGACAAACATAATATTTTAAGAGTATTTGCTTACAGGACTGATGCAGCTTTGTGTGTTTAACTGCATGGTTAATATATTAGAGCTATATTGGCACTATTTTAGGGTAAAGTGAGGCATTTGGGGGGAGAAGAACATATTTTTTATTTTTCCCCCCTTATATTTCTAACAAGTATGTCATAGCTAAAATCCCTGCAAAAATTATTGTTGATCGTGCCAGAAAAATAGTATTTTATTTTTTTAAACCTTATGCTCTCTGCTTGTTTTGCAGTGATACTTACAATTTCTCCTTAAAGGGAAACTATGGCACCATAACATCTTTAGCTTAATGAAGCTATTTTAGTGTATAGATAATGTCCCTGCAGTATCAATGCTCAACACTCTGCAATTTAGGAGTTACATCGCTTTTATTTTTGTTTATGCAGACTTGCCACACCTCCCCTCATGTTGAATCAGATATTATAATACAGTTTTTCTTTAGATATTATAATGCAGTTTTTGTTTTCTTTAGAAGTTTGTATATCCTACTTTGTGAATTCAACTTTAATCACACACACGAGGCTCCTACAGGCTCTAGTTTAACAAAATAGATCTCTCTTTACAAAAGCAGCAAAAACAGGAGGTAACACAATGCACAGCTTAGTAGATAAGGCCCACTTCTGGAACCACACTTTTATTCGAAGAGCATACGCCAGACAGATGGTTTGGGACTTCCTCAGTGTACAAATGCTCTTTTCATCAGCTAGGGCTGCTACTTCCATATGAGCCAAAGCAATGATGGGTAGCATTATTACACTGAGAGTGTCAGCTGAACTCTCCAAACCTATTGTGACGGACCGCTGGCACTCCGACTGAGTACCTCCACCAATCGATGCTCCTTGCGCTTGCCTAGGACTCCGAGCACTCCAACCGACACCATCAGCACAGTAGACCCCACTTCCAGCGATGCTGCTGCGCTGGGGTCTTGCCGTCTCTCACCCACCCTGGATCCACGACCAGAATCCAGCTCCCAGTGGGTGAGCCTCTCCTAAATCCAGAGAGCGTAGCAGGAACAAATCAAGCTCTTACAAGAGCTTACTCTGGGGAGTAAGTGATTATAGCAATCCCCAGAGTGTAGATATCCCTTCCCCCAAGCATGAGCCAAGGCTTCAAGAAATGTGCAAGTAGGTCTGGTTTATTGAGGGCTAACTGCCCGGTATTTATGCAAGTGTCCACCTGATGGAACAATGGGACACATATTGGATATTAGCCAATCACAGACAATACAAACAAAACACTCCCACAGTGACATCACAATCCCTCCTCTCTATCCTAGAGATAATTGGGAAGTAATCAAATTATCTCCCAGGACAGAGGCAACAATGTTACAACTAGAAAAGCTACAATTTCTGGGGAAATTGTGTGAAGTGTTCTTGCCTCCACCAGTAGTCTACAACTGGAGTGGGCGACGTAACTGTTATCATTTATATAACACATTTAATTGCAATGTTGTTGCACAGTTACATTAAACCATACATTTATAAAACATTAGCAGGTGTTCAAAAGGCCCTGTCTATGACATCACTTGCTGCTGCAGCCTGACACAGGTCAGAGTATTTTGGCGGTTGCCATCTTCAAACGGTCGTATTTTAAAAACTATAAATCCTACAGCGAAGAGCTTTATATTGTGAGAATCACAAGACCCAGACCTACATTTTGATGCATGTATGTCTCTGAAGTATTAAAAATGAAGGCACAGTCGCAGTTTAGAAATTGCACTTCAAATTTGAGCTTTGTAGAGGGAAGTTTCAATGAATGTCAATGGACGGCGTTAGTTGCAAACAAATGATTATATTGTGAAAACTATCAGGACTATGGCTTAGCCGTTGACATGTTTAGTGGCAGCAGGGATAGCTGAACGTTTTGATATAAGATTTGTGTAGGTGGGCCTGAAAATAAGGGAGTGGTGGCAGTTTAGAAATCATGTCCTGATTTTTCAGCTTTTGCCAGCTCCCACTCTAGCTTTGCCATTCATTCCTATGGGACTAATTTCGCCACAAGAACGACGATATTCCGTGAACCATTCGGCGAAACGTTCCACAAAGTAATAGCAATCCGATCGGGAACAATCTGCACATTTTGGTAAATTTTTGTCTATGTAGTGTAAAAACTGTGGGAGGAGTTAGGGTGGCAAATATTGCTATAATAATACTAATAACTAGAAAAGTTACAATTTCAGGGGAAATTGTGTGAAGTGTTCTTGCCTCCACCTGTAGTCTACAACTGGAGTGGGCGGAGTAACTGTTATCATTTACATAGCACATTTAATTGCAACGTTTTTGCACAGTTACATTAAACCATACATTTATAAAAACATTAGCAGGTGTTCAAAAGGCCCTGTCTATGACATCACTTGCTGCTGCAGCTTGACACAGGTCAGAGTATTTTGGTGGTTGCCATCTTCAAACGGTCGTATCTTAAAAACTATAACTCCTACAGTGAAGAGCTTTATATTGTGAGAATCACAAGACCCAGACCTACATTTTGATGCAGCTTTTGGCAGCTCCCACTCTAGCTTTGCCATTCATTCCTATGGGACAAATTGCACCACAAAAACGACGATATTCCGTGAACCATTCGGCGAAACGTTCCACAAAGTAATAGCAATCCGATCGGGAACAATCTGCACGTTTTGGTAAATTTTTGTCTATGTAGTGTAAAAACTGTGGGAGGAGTTAGGGTGGCAAATTTGGCTATAATAAGAATAATATATATGTGAGATAACAATAAGTGTTCTTGCAAGAACACTTAATAATATATATGTGAGATAACATTAAGTGGTCTTGCTATGCAAGAACACTTAATTACTACATAAAACATATACATGCAACATATCCCCAGATAGCTTAGATCTGAGTGCACATTATTACCAAATGGCGCTCAGATCACATACATACAGTTCAATTGCCATGGAGCTAAAGTCTTTTCCATAGTCTTTCATTACACGAATAGGCTCCATGGCATAGCTATCTGGGGTAGCACTACTCACATAATGAAAGTCCCGAACGCCCCGGCAGAAATACACAAATAAACCTTTCTCCAGGGTAAAATACAGCTATCAGCACAGGGGCCATAGTCGGAAGGCAGGAGGCTAGCCAGTAGTCCCCTCCAGGTACAAGTGGCGAAGAGCACTTCGTCACACCTTTCATTATAGTCCATTTCCAGTATACATTTTCACTGACATACAATCCGCTTTACCCAAACCTCTAGCGGGTGTGCACAGGGACCTCTATTCATTATTGTATTGTATTAACATCTTAAAGACCAGTGATGGTCTATCTTATCATAACATTCTCTTCTTTAAGATCTTGTTTTAAAATGGGATGTCCCACTCAAATATCAATAATAGGGCTGAAATGGCATGAAGGCAATATTTAACATTTGATCCTACACAGATTGAATGGGAGTGGGAGGTGCCGGACAATTGACCCTATCATTTTTTTCCCCCGTGACACATTTATAACAAAATTGGGAAGAGACAGCAAGATACTTTTAAGGGTAGATTGAGGATGTGATGCATATATGTATATAAGATAGTAGGATAAAGCTAGGTTTTTAACAGATAAAAACTAGCAGACATGGTGATCTGATCCACAATGTATCCTGTTCCAGAAGTATATGCAGGAAAAATAATTGTAAAATGGATTGTTGCGCTTTTGAGATCATGGTGGTAAGTTTAAACCTTAGTTTTTAACTCCTTCAAAACCAAGTTGTTTTTGATTGAAAACAATAATTGTTACGTTGCTTAAGACAATGTATGGGTACAGCAATCTTTTGTATAGAATGATGTTCAAGCATGCCCAATAAAATATGTTTCTGTAAGAAGACAGCATTTACATGTTTTAAAGGGCTATTCATCACTTGACAATTGTTTTTAAGCCAGCAAGCAAACACTTTTAAACAAATAGACAAACCAAAATAAAGCTAGAAAAACTTTGAAAAGTAACAAACGTTTATAAACTTACTATAAACCTGGTCATATTGTGGTATTGAGCATGCCCTTCAGCAAGGGGCGTTTCTTCAGTCTCCCCTTTCTTTTATACTACCATCTCAGGTTCAGATCAGTCCACTAATGACAGCAACAGGAAAAGATAAGCCCAACACAGAACCTGCTTTGTATGAATCACACAGATCAGACTCCCTCTCTTTTCAACCTGCCAGAATGTTGCAAGATAAGGAGATATTTTCCAGCTGCACATGTGTAAATCTGTCAGTGATGCCCAATGCACTTTTCCAGCATTCCTAGGGATAGAATATTGATTGGTTAGTGGAGTAGGTGTGGAAAGCATAAGAAAGAAGGAGGAAATTATGCGCACAAAAAAAAAAAACAACACATTTGCCTGTTTTTTCAGCCAAAAGCTTTTAAATAAGACAGTTGTCTCAAAATGATGCATGTCCTTATAACTTGTACATCCATTTGTTGGATATTATGTGAAGGTCCAAAGTATTACAGATTATGTGCCAACCTTTGTTTCACAAATCAGGGTCAGGGAAATTTGTACAGACAGTAGGTAAGGAACTAAACTGCCAATAGCAATGTTTAAATTTAGTATTGTAATAAAATCTGCTGGCACTTTTGGAAATTAAGATGCTCTAAATGCAATATATATCTGGGTGAGGACAGTACTGATTCTGAGAAGAAGGTGGCTTATTTATTAGATGGAATTAGTAACAGATTTCATTAAAGTAACACTGTAAGCACAATAACCACTACAGTTTGCTAGTGGTTATGGTGCCAGGAGTGCCTTGGTAACTCCCAGTGAAAGTAGTCAAACCATTGGATAATGGTTTGATTGCTTACCTGTTGTCTAACAGGTGTCACTCCCCACCTCTCGTCTTCCTGTCTGAGAGCTATAAGCTCCTGTTTCCATTAGCTCCCTTAAGCTTCAGCTAATTGCTTTCATCCAATAGGTTAAGCCCTGCTCAGCCCAGCTTAGCTCAGGAAGAGAGTTTATGGCTTTCAGACCAGAATGGGAAGGGGCAGGAAGTGGTGCCCAGCATACCCCAGGTAAGAAGCCAGGCTATTAGAAAATAGTTTGACTACTTACATATGGGGGCAGCAATGCCCTCCTGACAACATATCTAGTGTAGTTTACTGTAGTGTTTATGTTGCTTGGAGTATCCCTTTAATTTAATTGCAATCTCATAAAACACAGTCAGGTGAATTTCAAATGTATGTTCAAAAGAGCTAAACTGTAAAAATTCTACACCTCACCTATGCTTCAAATTTACTACTCTGGCCTTAAAATTTTAATTAATTTAGAATTCAATTTAAATAATCCTGTTTAATTTTAATTGTATCACCTGCTGATCTTCAAAATAAGAGATACAATGGATATATAATATGCACTTAATTCAATGAACTGTTAAAAAGCAGAGAAAATAAATCTGTTCTGTTAACAAGGATCTCCATTTTTTTTTAAATTTCCTTTACTACGACATGATTAAAATAACTAAAAAAACAAGACAAACTGTCTGCAGTATTTTACATGAGAGCGAAAGATCTGTTCATATTGCTGCCCTAAGCTCTTTGGAAGTTTGTCTCCAATTTTAGAAACAAGTAGATTCCTTTCCTCTGATTTCAGATTTATACGATGAATGAAATTACCATGGAGGCGGAAACAAACAGTGATGTACCCCAGCAGAACCCATTTATGCTCTTTTTTTTAGTTTTTGTCTTTTTTGGTACTGGTCTTATTGGATTCCTAATCTGCCATGTCCTTAAGAAGAAAGGATACCGATGCCGTACGTCCCCTGAGGATCTAGACTCTGACATCAAGGAAGCTCTAAATGAGGAACAAGAAAGTGAGTAACAGTGTATAAAGTACAATGTAAATAAATAACCATACCATGTTATGTAGACAAGTGATATTAACATGCAGTTAAATGTCCATTATGCAAGGTCATTATTATTATTATTTTTTAAATAAAATACATTCCCAATGCTAATTCAATAACAAGGGTTGTGTATTATTAAGTAAGATTGCACAGAAAAGGAAAGGCACATGGGTCACTGGTATTAACTTGAAAAGCTGATGTAAGATACAGACAGAGGCTAAATACTTCTGATATATTGTATTACCAATAATTAACTCTTTTGTGACAAAATACCTAATAAATAAAATAAAATGATTTTCTTAAAGGGACACTCTGAACCCTTTAAGCACTTTAGCTTGCTGAAATGCTTTATGGGTGAAGAGTTTGATTGTTAATTTACAAAAAGTGCAGATTTCAATGAAAAATTGCACTTTTTATAAATTAAGCTTGTTACCAGGGTCAGATTTACAAGTGCCATTTGGTCTACAAAGTTGTTCACATTATTTAAGAATGTCCAGATTTTGCAATTCAAACCCTGAACAGGCCCTAATTTGGTCTGGATTACAGCTGCAGTCGAACCCAGAGGCTTCAAATCTACATGTTAGAATGACATTCTCCTGTAATCTTGGAGCCGAACCAAACACTAATCTTAGCAAAGAGGTTGGAAGTTTTGTTGGTTGAAATTTGGTCACAGCTATTTCCACCCAAATCTCACTGCAGCAAAGACATCCTTTTAAAAAATAATAAGGATCTATTTGGTTGAATGCAATAACAGTTTTTTTGAAAATGAATACAGTGAACCTCAGAGGAAAGAGCAGACCCGAAGAGAATTGAACTGAATGAAAATGATGGAATTTCCCCGAAGTGGGATACCAGAGGGAAGGTTTAAGACAGTAGAACAGTGGTCCCAAATAAGGACAAAAATAATCCAGTGTATTATTAATAGTTTAGTTACTTGGGGCCTTTACTACTGTGCTCTGAAACAAAATAATTCTTGTATTGTATTTGTATTTTTTCTCTCTTTTTTTTTCTTAGGGTTTATGTAAATATACTGCCTAGCGGACTGTATCTGATTATGTCTTCCAATACAAAAGAATAATTTTTTAATGTTAAATTTACAGGGTTATTCACTAAAGTAAGAATTCAAGGCGAATTTGTATTAAATTTCTAATTTAAGGGGAATATAGCCAAAATGAAAAAAATCTCTAAGTTGGCTACACATTCTTTTTTTATTATGGCATGAAATATTCACTTAACTTATTTTTTTAACTTAATGATTAGACCTTACCCATGTTACTTTTTTGACACACACATTCTAACACATTCACACATTATTATTTTTATTTTAATTTAGTGTCTGCACCTTTTCAATAGGTTAATCTACATTGGGGTATGTAGGCACATGCTTCATTACATTTTTTTGAGGTTGTCTTGCTGGAATATATATTTTATTTCCTGTATTTACGTTATTATAAAAGAAAAACACACACACACACAAACACACACACACATCTGTATCAACAATACAGTGCATTATTAGTGAATGACATAGTGATATCGGAATGTTAATATCTGGTTGCACATATACAAAGGTATTTTAGGGTTTTCCCAACAAGTGAGAGATCTACATTGGTATTGTATCATATAATGAGTCGACATTAGTCACAGTACATAAATGTGTGTGGTACGGTATACATATAGTGATATAGAATGACATCATACAGCATAAGCAGTAACAAGATAACTTGGATTAAGGAAAGAGAAAGGGGGCATGTGAGACACATAATGTAGAGCATATGTTAAGCACTGGGGATGAGCAAGTGACAGGGTGGTCTTAGTGGTCTCATCGGGTGGGTAGAAGTTTTATTGCTGCATCAAGGGCTGGTATATTTTCTTTAGATTTTTGCCACTCTTCTATGTGCTAATGTAAGTTCAAGTTTAGATGAGTTGAAGTTTTTTTAGGGCTTTGTTTCTCTATCTATTTGTTGTTCATCTGTACATATCCTGTTAGCATTCAGTGTTTTTTTTTCCTCTACTCTCAATTTTATTAACCTGAGTGGTTTTGCCATAGTAGGCAGCCTGCAGTATACACTTACTCTCTGGCTTATTTATTCATATATTTTCACCTTCGTTTTGTGGGAAGACATTTATATTGACTATTACAGTGTTAGGTGTTGTTTTTGCTTTGATTTATGATATATTTAAATTAAGCGTACAGTATGTGTGTGTGTATATATATATATCTTTAGTCTCTTCCCTGCCTTTTCTTTTATTCCTTCTTTGGTTACGGCACATCTATTGATCTCTTTTCATTTTCAGGTATGCATTCAGTTCAGTTACTCTGGCCTTATATAAATACCAGTAATAATAATAATAATATGTAAAATTCACTTTAAATTCTCACTTTAGTAAATAACTCGCTATGTCAGGGCTTGACAAAATTGTTTAGAATTTAGGAGTCCATTTTTTTTTAAACTAACAAAGCTTTATTTTCAATGACAAAAAAAAAACTATTCTTAAAGGGACACTAAAGGGACAGTTTAATGTAATGGTTCTGGTGTCTATAGCCTGTCCCTGCAGGTTTTTCAATGTAAACACTGCCTTATCAGAGAAAAGTAAGTGTTTACATTGCTGCATAGTAACACCTCTTGTGATAGTCACTCAGACGGCCACTAAATATGTTTCTTAGTTCTATGTACAGCATCTCCTTGTTCTGCATAGCATAACTGGATGTTCTCCATAAAGATGCATTAATTCAATGTATCTCTATGAGGATATAGTGATTGGCGCAGAGTGTGCCTATTTAGGTCACACAGCAGAGGAAGAAGAGCAGGAAGATGACAGCTCCCTCACCGCCCAGCTCCATTTTCCCTCAGCCACCTGCCACCATTCTCCATCAGCCACCCGCCTCCATTTTCGCTCAGCCACCCGCCTCCCTCAGGAGAACAGGCTGAAAATCACATAGGAGCGAGGGCAAAATTCATAGTCACAATGGCTCCCTGGCATCTGGGATTTGTCAAGACTTGCTTTATATTTTTATTTGAGAAGCACCATAGTGTAGCTTCAAATTTGCCTCTTTATTTTCATGAAATTAAGAAATAGTCCAGAGCTACAACATTACTTTGCACAGGGCTATAGAAATCGAATATCCCTCAGCTATTGTTAAAAAAATCAGGATAACCTGGAAGTTCAGCTGCATTTTTAGCATCAACAGCACCAAAGCAGTAGTGTGGCAGTTCTATAAATGTTGTTACACACATTTAGAACATGAGCATAGCTTCATGGGCTAGATAATATGTCATGTAATCTATACTTTGAATGTGTAAAATACACTGCATGTTAGATGCTAACAGCACCATCATGTGTAAAAATGTAAATGGAGACGGGCTCAATAATTTGTATACTCCTGTTTACTGTGCACTGCTAATTAGTGTTTTAGTACTGCAGCTTTGTACAGTGGAACTATCCATCACACCAACATGCACTCATTGAGACACATACTATTTAATCAACACACATTTTCAATGAAAGACACATTCCCTCACTGATACACATACACACACTGACAAACATTCACAGATATACACACTCACAGACACACAAGCAAAGACACTCATTCACTGACAGACACACACTCACACACAAGGACACGCACACATGCACTCAATTACAGACACAGGTAACTGACAGAGACAGACTCTCACTGAATTTACATACATGCACGGACACACACTCACTGACAGACACACACATTCACAATTTATTTTTATTTGTCCACCCAGTCTCCCTACTTTTGGGAAAGCTGGAGTGGATCCTTTTCCTGAGGTCCAATGTGGATCCCTCTCCCTGTGGTCTAGGGTGGCTGCTATGATCCTGTCATCTTCTTGTTCTGTTCCCATGTGCGCCGTTTAGTATTGCCGGAGCCAGAGTGACATCATATTCCAGATCTTAGCATCACTGCAGGGCTCGCAAGAGAGCAGGAAGATTAAATCTCCATTGCCGTCCACTAAATTTGAGCACAGTCACGCACCTCAATGGGGCCCTAAGACAGCCAGTTCTTTGGCCTCCTCCATGACAGGCAGGACATAGGGAGCCTGGTGAAAGTTGCAGGGGTGTCATAGATTGTGTTTGGGTGTGGCATTTTTTTCTGCCCCTCCTGGAAAGTGGTGCCCAAGGCAAATGTTCAATATCTCAATTATGTGAAGAAAAAGAATACACTCACAAGGATAGAGCCTCCAAATAGCTCTTAGATAAGGCTCGGAGAGGTATAATCCTCACTCAGGGATGAAACTGGAATTTTTCTCTTTGAGTGTTCACAATGGAAATGGTATTTAAAAGGATAAAAACAGGATATAGTGCTCACTGTTTCAAACCAAAAAAAGTGTGTGGAAAAGTATGAAAATTACTCACAATTTTAAGAGCACCTTATTAGCTTAGGTTGAATGATCCCCACCAAGGATATAGTGGTAAATGTTATGAATGATAGTCCGTGGCGATGCTCCTTTAAGATGATAGAATAAATGCAGGATAAAAAATATACAAAAAAAATAACTTTTTTAGGGTAAAAACAATATTTATTGTAAATATAAGCAAATAAAAAAGTCCTTCTGAATAGTCACAACCTGTTTCACCATTGGGCTTTCTCAAGTGATCAAAAGTTTGATCCTGGTTTCAAGTGATCAAAAGTTTGACTCCTGAACATGTAAAGGCAGTGGTATGAAATATTGTATAAAGTACAAAATAGGCTAAATATAACAAATATCAAGTATATTAACAAAATGTAAATTACAGAAAGGTGGAATTCAACTGCTCTATTTGTAACGTGGACTTTGCAATAACTGCTATGCTGTTTGTGTTTGGGGGTGATTTATTTGCATTCCATGCAAGTTATGTGTAAAATGAGAATTAGAGGTTGCTGTTGAAGTAAAGTATAGATAAAATGTGGGTACTGTTTGCCTGAAGAGAATTGTGTGTGGTGAAAGTGATGTGTGAAATATGTTTTAAGATCTAAATGAAGCAGATCCTTTATTTTAATTCAGGCTCCTGGAACAAGACCAATTTTGTCATGTTTAGGCAGGGGTGTCTGCAGCATAAGAGGGACACCTCCAGAACCAGGGCTGGTGACTGCAGCATGTGTGACTGCAGCATGAGAGGGACACCTCCAGAACCAGGGCTTTGGCAGTGGCCTAGGGCGCTGGCTTACGGGGGGCGCTGCAAGAGAAATATGCGCACAGCTGGTGCTGCCGAATGAGCCGCCAGGTAAGTCTGTCTGCGGTCACTCAAGCCACCCTGCTACCGAGAGGGAAGAGGGAGAATTTGGTCTATACTTCCGGACCAAGTTCTCGCTCCTCCTACTGTATTAGAGCGTTGCCATAGGTTACCGCGGCAACGCTCTGATGCGCTTTCTGGCGCCGGACAGAAGGAGCTGCACTTCCCACCGGACCATCAGGGAAACGGATACTCCCCCTCCCTGGACCAAGATAAGCGCCTGGGAGGGGGCAAGAAACATTTCGTTTTCTTGTTTAATAAAATTAAAATAAATCTATATTTTTTTTGTATCCTTCCTCTTATTATCCCCTATCTCCCCCACTACTGCCCCAAACTCCTTACCATATCCCTCAACCCCCTACTTCTGCCCCTATCTTCCCCAGAACTGCCCCTAACTCTGCACCATATCCCTTAACCCGCCCCACTACTGCCCCTATCCCCCCCCACTAAAGCCCCTAATGCCCTACCATATCCCTTAACCCCCAACTACTGTCCCTACCTTCCCCACCACTGCCCCTAACTTCACACCATATTCCCTAACCCACCACAACAGACCCTAACTTCCCACCATATCCCTTAACCTCCCACTACTGCCCTTATCTCCCCCAAGAACTGCCCCTAACTCCCCACCATATCCCTCAACCCCACATTACTGCCCCTATCTCCTCCACTAAAACCCCTAACTCCCCACCATATCCCTTAACCCCCCACTACTGCCCCAAACTCCCCACCATATTGCTCAACCCCCCACTACTGCCTCTATCTCCCCACGGTATCCCCAAACCCACCACTACAGCCCCTAACTTCCCACTATATTTCTTAACCCCCACTACTGCCTCTAACTCCCCACCATATCCCCAAACCCACTACTACAGCCCCTAACATCCCACCATATCCCTGGACCCTCCACTACTGCCCCTATCTCCCCTACTACTACCCCTAACTTCCCACCATATACCCTAAACCCTCACTACTGCCCCTAACTTCCCACCATATCCCCTAACCCCCACTACTGCCCTATCTCCCCCACTACTGCCCCTATTCCCCCATTACAGGTCCTAACCCCCACTGTTGCCCTTATCTCCCCCACTACAGGTCCTAATCACCACCACTTCTCCTATCCCCCACTACTGCCCCTACCCCCCTAACCCCTCACTACTGTACCTAACTGCCACTCTAGCTCCTGACCCCACTACAGGTCCTAACGCCCCACTACTGCCCCTAACCTCCCATTACATGTCCTAGCCCTCTACTACTGCCTCTATACCACCACTACAGGTCCTAACCCCCACTAAAGGTCCTAACCCCTTACTACTGCCCCTAACCCCCCACTGCAGATCCTAACCTACCACTTCAGCCTCTAACCCCTTACTACTGCCCATAACCTCCAACTGCAGGTCCTAACCCACACTAGTCCTCCTAACCCACCATTAATGCCCACTCCCCACTTTAGCCTCTAACCCTGCCCTACAACTCGTGACCCCTCACTTCAGCCTCTAACCCTCCAATACTGCTTCTAAGCCCACACTAAAGCCGCTAACTCCCCCCCACTGCTCCCCTAACCCCTATTACAACCCCTTATGCCCACACTACATCTAGTAACCCCCACTACAGCTTCTAACCCCTCACAACACCTAAATTCCAACTACTGCCTTTTTACTCCACTACAGCCTCTATCCCCCACTATAGCTCCTAACATCCATTACTGCCCCTAACAACCACTACCACCCTTAATCCTGATAACTGCATTTAAAACCTCACTACAGCACCTAAACTTCTCCCCCCCCCATCTTCCACTACTTCCCACATGTATTTCTTACACATTACATATTGCCACACACAACACTCACAGCGGCCCAAACTTTCACTCACAGCTACTCACGCTACTACAAATACCACTCACAACTACCCACATGCAGCCTTCCACAGCTATACACACATCACACACGGTCAAACTTATACATCAAGTATAACATACCTCATACAAAGCTACTACGCTTACAGCAGCCCTACACAAGACAAACACCCACACCACACATCCACTCAACATTTTAATAAATATTTAAATCACATAACATAAAAAAAAATAATATAGGGGAAGACATTCCTGATGCACACCCTAATGAAATGGGCTGTGCACGCCTTTGCGTAGCACATGGTGGCTTTACTAGTCTGGGCAAATGAGCTGCCCAGGCAGATACAGCAAGAAGCCTTAATACTGGCCAGTCGACCAGACTGCTGTAAAAGCAAGCACTCAGGACAGTGTGATGTCACAATATGGGGGGCGGGGGGACAAATTACATTTTTGCCTAGGGTGGCAAAAATCCTTGTTCCGGCCCTATCCAGGGCCGATCACTGTGTAGAGAGGCAAGCCTCACCAGTAGCTTTTCACAACCTGGGTTCTCCATCATCATGAGGGCAGACTCAGAATAACTGCAGCTGAGCGCAATCACTCAGATGTGGGGGATGTACAGGGCCATGTGCAGCTCTCACTTTGAGTGTTGCACATAACTAACCCGTCAGTCTGGGGTCACTAACTGTGTCCCCAGCTTACAGACGGAACCCTCAAGTATGCACTTGATCCTAGACACCTTGGTGCTCAGACAGATCTAAAAGCAACACAAAAGTCCCATTTCAATTAATCCAGTAATTAAACAGAACTTGCAATAAAGAAAGCCTAAATAGGGCTCTCTTTACAGGAAGTGTTTATGGAAAGCTGTGCAAGTCACATGCAGGGAGGTGTGACTAGGGTTCATAAACAAAGGGATTTAACTCCTAAATGGCAGAGGATTGAGCAGTGAGGCTGCAGGATCATGTTCTATACACCAAAACTGCTTCATTAAGCTAAAGTTGTTCAGGTGACTATAGTGTCCCTTTAATCCATTATGTTCTGACTGATTTGCACATGTTAATATTTTATATATATATGTGTGTGTGTTTATGTAGTTTATGTATCTTATGTTTTGTAAACACAGATGAAGTCTCCAATGAGGACACTGTAGAACGCATCGTGAAGTGCATTATTCAAAATGAAGGTTGGTGCTTTTTAATGCTAAATTGTATATATTATATTATAATTTGTAATATTTTAAGAATAAAGCTTGTTCTTTTCAATTTCCAATGTATTTTAGCAAACACAGAAGCACTTAAGCAGATGCTGGGAGAAAATGAAGGAGAGGCACTCCCTGCCCCCAGGTGAGATGGCAGCAGTCTTAAAATGTTTATTTTTATGTGATATAAGTTATCTCAAGCACTGCTACAAGGTATGTTTGTTATGTCTGTAAATTGGATTTTTATGTTTATTTTCTTGCAATCCATATAATTAATATTTGTAAACTGGACTGATAATAAGGAATCATCAACTCTGTTCCATCTCAAGTTGCTAAGCACAAGTGATCAAACTTAAATATTGCAACATTATATTATTCAAGTTCTATTTAAAAGATGTAGTACATGTTTTTTTAAATGGATCCTTGGGAAATGCTAAACCTCCTTCCAAGCATGTTAGTTGAGTTCCATTGTATCCGTGGAAGCACAACATGTCTAATTATTGATATATGAGGAGTGTTTTGGAACACAGATCAAGACAGCAATACAGGAAATAGGAGTATGCCAGCTGTTTACTGTAGACAAGATGCTGATATTCTATAATTATAACAAAAATTTTGAGATTGTTTCATAATCAGGAAATGCCTCCCACAGTGTGTAAACTGAGATTGCTGAAAAAATGTAACATGGGTATGCATTAATGCATTGTAAATAGTGAAGTTGGTTATGTTCTTGTTTTTATACAGCATTAAATATTAATTAAATGTCAAATCATTTTTGTAAATTGTTTTGATCACTAGCTGAATAATGTACTGCAAATGCAGATATTCAGGGTCACAAGGATCAGTTTTCCTGACATAGGTATTAATTCAGGAATTAGTAGGATTTGTTAATAAAAACATACATTTTACCTAATTAGAGAAATTATCAGTGGCCCATTGCTATAAAAGGTATGGGATACAAAATCAGCATGACATTTTCAAAATCATCACAATCTACATAATGTCTATTTAGAATATCCAGGGACTTCATTTATTGCCAGATTATACTGCTCTATTGCAGTGATTTTCCTCTCATTCGCGAAACAATCTAGTTTTTCTTTTACTTATCGCACTTATTCCACCCTGAGGCCTCTTTTCTACTAATAGCTCCCTTTTCTACTCATAAACTTGTCCCATTCCACAAGATGCAGCCATTTGTACAACAGTGAAAATAGGCATCATCAGTAGATGCTTGCAAGGCATTGTTAAAGGACCACTATAGGCACTCAGACCACTTCAGCTTAAAGGACCACTATAGTGCCAGGAAAACATACTCGTTTTCCTGGCACTATAGTGCCCTGAGGGTGCCCCCACCCTCAGGGTCCCCCTCCCGGAGGGAGGCGTAGAGGAGGAGGTGAGCTCTCCGCCCGGCGCTGGAATAAAGGTACGTTTTACCCCTTTCCTCTCCTCAGAGCCGGGCGGAGAGCTCACCTCCTCCTCTCCGCCTCCGATCCTCCCCTTCGGCTGAATGCGCACGCGCGACAAGAGCTGCGTGCTCATTCAGCCGGTCTCATAGGAAAGCATTTACAATGCTTTCCTATGAACGCTTGCGTGTTCTCACTGTGATTTTCACAGTGAGAATCACGCAAGCGCCTCTAGCGGCTGTCAATGAGACAGCCGCTAGAGGATTTGGAAACTGCTATGTTTATAAAAAAAAAAAATGGGTTAATCCTAGAGGGACCTGGCACCCAGACCACTTCATTAAGCTGAAGTGGTCTGGCTGCCTAGAGTGGTCCTTTAATGAAGTGGTCTGGGTGCCAGGTCCAGCTAGGTTTAACCCTTTTTTTTTATAAACATAGCATGTATAAACATGTTTATAAATGGGTTAATCCAGCCTCTAGTGGCTGTCTCACTGACAGCCGCTAGAGGGCTTCCGTGCTTCTCACTGTGATTTTCACAGTGAGAACACGCCAGCGTCCATAGGAAAGCATTGTGACTGCTTTCCTATGGACTGGCTGAATGCGTGCGCGGCTCTTGCCGCGCATGCGCATTCAGCCGGTGACGGGAGAGGAGGAGGAGAGCTCCCCACCCGGCGCTGGAGAAAGAGGTAAGTTTAACCCCTTCCACACCCCAGAGCCTGGCGGGAGGGGGTCCCTGAGGGTGGGGGCACCCTCAGGGCACTATAGTGCCAGGAAAACGAGTATGTTATCCTGGCACTATAGTGGTCCTTTAAAAAAGAAAATATTACACAACAGTACACCTTTGTTAGTACTCAAGCCTCACCTCTTTCCCATGGTACTGTGGAAAAAGCATCTCCCTTTCTTTGCTCAGAATTAACTTGCTACCTTGATTATGTGCAAATTTATTAATTCTCTCTTACCCACACAAACCCAATTATTTACCAACCTTATTTCACGTTATCTCTGATTTTATTATTTGAGGTAAATAATATAATATTTCTTGAAATTACACGTCTCAATTCATAAGCTACTAAAATCTGTAGTTCATTCTCTGTTCTTCCTTGTTACAATCTTCTAATAGACACTATTTTTATACCATTTCCCTTTGCTCACCCGCTATTCTTATATGACTGCTTAAAATGAAACCCCCACTGCTCTGGAATTTAACATTTGAATTGCAACTATAAATTGTGTAAACCTTTTATGTAATGCTCTATTTTCATTCACATTTACATTAACGATTTAACAAATAACATTACGATTCTGTTCAGGTCAGGCACAGCCAAAGCATACATTGCAAATGAAAATGAGAAATGTAAACATTGTTTAATTTCTCTGTATGCTAGCTGCTAGGTGCAAAGAACACAGCTGATAGCTGAAAATTAAAATGGAGCTAAAATGGAGGCATCTAGTTGCAGGATTAAAAGGTATTCACTTCTAATCAAATTTAATTTCTCATTTACTGCAAATACACATTTATTAAATATATAGAATAGGAAATCCTATATGTATCAGCTTGAACGGCCTGATGACTTAAGGTGCGCACGCACGTCCTGTAGTCGAGCCAAGCTTTCGATGGCGGCTACCCTGTTTAATCTCTCAGTAACTCCGAAGAAGGCTACTAAATTTGATTCCCTACTCCACTCTCGAACAGATGAATCCTAACCTATTAACCCACATACCACCTTCCCTTCTGGGAGGAGAGGCGAGAGGCACTATGGAGGACACAGGAAGTAGTATTCCCCACAAGGCAGTGAGGTGCGGTGGCAGATGTGAGAAGAAGCATTTATCACAAGACATTGAGGCACAGCAGTGGACACGAGGAAAAGCAAGTACCACAAGTAAGAGACTTGCCGTGTGCCGCGAGTGCAGTAAATACCAAGAAGAATCTAGCCCGTGGAAAGCACAAGACTGTGGATGGTGGTGATGATCAATGCGTTCCATAGAATAATACACTAGTACTGTGAGTAGCTCCTTTGGAGCATTAAGTTTTGGGAAAGGGAGGAGGTAAGAAGAAGGAGAAAGAAAGAAAAGGGGAGAAAGGGAGAGAAGAAAAACTAAAGGGATTCTAAGTTTTGCTTTCTTGTATATAATGTAACTCTTTTGGGTGTATATCTTGTAAATTACTTTGTCCAAATAATATTGTGTAATAAAAAAGATAAAGGAAGAGAGAAAAGAGAAAGAAAGAAAGAAAGAAAGAAGAGTAAGGGAAAGTAAATCAAGAGAGAAGGGAAGAGAAGAAGAGGAAGACTAGGAAAAGAGAGAAAAAGAGAGGGGAAAGGGGGAAAAGGAAGGGGAAAAAAGAGAGAGAAAGGGAAAAGGGGGAAAATAGGAAAGACTAAAAAAAGGGGGAAAGAGAGGGGGAGACCCCTGCCAAAAAAACGCTGTTCGTGGAAAACAGCCCTACACAGGACATTCTCTGACACGGAATGGGAGAAGATCTGCTACCTCATGTATCACTGTGCATTGAACACAAGAGACCGCCTTTAAGCTCTTGACCAATTGGTACCACACACCAAACCTCTTACACTCAATCAACCCAGTCCATTCTAACATATGCTGGAGATGTGAAAAGGAGTTAGGCACCACCCTGCACTTATGGTGGGACTGTGAGATTATTAGGCCATACTGGGTGGGAATCCACAGCATGTTAGAGGAGTTCTCTGAAGCACCACCCCTCCTACACCCGGCAGCGATGCTCTTCCATCACACGACTGTCCCCAGATCCAAATATAAGAAATCTATGACCATAAGGATTTTAAACGTAGCCAAACAAGTTCTCCCACAGTACTGGAAGCAGACAGTTACCCCCAACCCCCTACAGACATGGTTCACTCAGATGGAAGCCCTAAGAGCGATAGAAGAACTAACAATGAGCACCACCCACACCCCTGCAGCCTATAGCAAGACTTGGACACACTGGATCCTGAACACAGCTAAGGAAGACTTTGCTCTCAAACTCCAATACCGACAGGACGACTAGGACTGACAGACCCAACCCCATCCTCCTTTCTCTCTTCCCTCTATCCTTCCTCTCAGTTAAACCCGACCCATACACGCCTCTGCGGGACGATGTCCCGACATGCTCCTATGCTAGCAAGACACCTTTCCCCGTAACAGAAACCACATACAGAAGAGGCTGGAAGCCAACATCACATCCAGCAGAGATTGTTCAGCACCCATACTAGAGACACGATAAGTAGGCGGGAGTGGTACCACACAACGCGATAGACACCGAGACATGGGGTGAGAATGGGAAAGTCCTACTCACCTACAGCTGGCAAACACTTGAAACACAACCCTAGACAAGACATGAGACCGCCAGACTGGTCTACGCACCCTCACACTCGTTAGTACCCAGAAACCAGCTTGTTGAGAAGAGAGAAACACCACCACGAATACCTAAGGTGACCAGTGGGACACAGTGATGTATTGATGTTATTGAGCCAATGTCATACAACTGAGGCCTGCGAGCCAATACACAATATGCTGAAAATAGGGCCTGCGAGCCCACATGGTACTTAATCACCACCTTTCTTCTGCTATTCCTGTTTGAGAAAACTATAAAAGTTGAAGGGGGAGGCGGCGCCACAGGTGAAAAAAAAATTGATTATAAACTATACAAGCATATATACAAGACACTATATAAGAGAAAATACATTTAAGGTAAAAAAAAAAAAAAGTTCGAAATATGGATAATGAATAATAATCAAGAGTCAAAAGATAAGTCCAAAAGAGTCTATGCCTGATAAATACAGCAAAAAAATCCAAATAAAACCTTGTATAAGATGCTAATCACAATCTTGTCAGGGGAAGCATTCCTCAGTAACATATGGACATGGGCTCTTCGTGAAATCCGTATGAAAAAATAAAAAGACAGCAAATAATGGTGCAGTATATCCCAACAGGTACTAAGTACTATTTTTAGAGGTCTATATGGTCCTACTCATGTTTTCCAGAGCTATAAGACTAGCTCTAGTGTGGATGGCATACAGTGGTACAATCCCCACTTATGGGATACGTGAAGTTTTGTAGTAGATGGATATCTTGTTGGTATAAGGACCATATGCAATATAAAAGAAACAATAATAGTACTTATTGTATAAAAGCCAGTGGTTAAATAATAAAATACCAAGTGGTTACTCACATTTTATTGAGCAGGCAGACTGCTCAATGGATAAAGCTTTAGTGGTATAATCCCCACCAAGGATTCTTTGGAGTAAAATTCTCACTGGAACAATAAAAACTCTGGTGCCAGGTAAAAATAAATAAAAGAGTAAAATGGCTGACTCACAAGTTGAAAGTGGCCAAAATACCTTTAATAAAATACAGCAATTAAAATACCACAAGGCGTTTCTCCCTTTAGGGCTTTCTCAAGTAGATAAAAAGTGACCAGCTTGATACCTCAGTTTAATGTCAAGAACTGAAAACTAATAAAAATTATATTTACAAAAAAAAGGGGGGGAGAGAGGAAAAGGAAAGAGAGAGAACAAAAATAAAATAAAAAAATAAAGAAACAACCAAAAAAACAAAACAAGGGAAGAAAAACAAAACATAAAGAGGGAATCACAATGGCTTCCAAAAATGAAAAAAATCCTCATCCCTGACAAAAACAAATCTATTAACCCATTCTGTTCTCCTAAAACGCACAAAACATATAAAATAATTCAAAGAAAATCATTAGAACCTAACAAAGATCAATTAGGCAACTCTTATGTAACATCACATGATGAGCATACGCCCAATCCAGCTCTTTCTCATGATTCCTTACTATTAATGATGGACAATCTATATACAAAACTAAAAAAATATTTAGATTCGAACACATTGGAAATAAAGAAATGAAGTATCTTCTATAACTCAGAAACTATCACAACAAGCAGATCATCTAACAAAATTTCAAAATGATTTTATGGAAATTCAAACTGAGAATCTTCAACTTAAATCTAAAATTAAATCTCTGGAACTAAAGATATCAGACTTGGAAGACAGATCAAGGAGAAAAAAATCAGAAAATAACATAGATTCCTGAAAGTGTCACAAATCAACAACTTGAAATGTATTTTATAGATCTTTCTTCCACAATAACATATTTATCCTTATATGGGGCACATCCCTTAGAGAGATATCACAGGTTAAGGAACCCAAAAGAAATATCCGCTCCAAGAGATACTATAGTGAGATTTGCAAATTATCATTTGAAAGATACAATCATGAAACAAATCAGGAAAAATCCACTTAAACATGAAAAATATAAAGATATACATTTTTTCTCAGATATCTCAGCAGCTACCTTAGAAGCAAGAAGGCGGTTCCATGACTTAACTTATCTTCTTTTTTCTTAAAAGTAATGTTATCAGTGGGGATTTCCAACTAGATTAATATTACAACACGAAGAAAGACTACACATTATTTTGAATCCTGTACAAGCAAGGGAACAAATTATAAAATGGAATCTCTTTATAAAATCTAACAGAGACAATTTAAAAGGAAAGATACATTTTTTTCTCTCCCCTCTCTATCTCCCTTCATAGTCCTAATATAAAAATCTGATGTGAAGTAAAGGAAGAGACAATGTGAGAATGACTGAGGGAAGGGAATGAGGTGATGGGGATCATTCAAATGTTTTACACAAGGATTATTTATAAAACTCGGATCTTATGTAAAAAAGAAACGCGGAGAATGCTTATCAAAGCTTTACATAACCTTAACTAAATTAGAGAAAATAAAGAAAATTTAAATACTCTGGAAAATATAATACAAATTCAAAATTTAATTAAAATCAAGTAATAACAAGATTGACAAACTTATCTCCTATAAATTAAAATTTAAAAAGAAAAACAATTGAATATGTAAAATAAAAGTAGGATATGAAACAACTTTATGTCCTAAACAGGAGATGCATTCAGACCCTATTACTAGTCACTATACAAACTAGAAATTGGAAATAAAGAAGTAATAAGTGAAACTATAATCAAAGAGTTTATTAAGAAATGTAAATTACCCAAAATCAAACCAAATAAGTTAGAACAAATAAATAAACTTATCTCTATGTTTGAGATTCAATATAAAATGGCTAAAAAACACCAAAGCACCTGGACCAGGCGGATTCTCTGTGATCTATTTTAAAACATTTGATAAAGTAGTTTCCCCATTATTACAATGATTATATATTGAATTCTCAAATAGTAAACATATTCCACAGGAATTACTTCAGGCAATGTTTTCCCAATCCCCAAGCCTGTAAAAGGTCCGTGACACCTTCTCGAATTATAGACCTATTTCTCCGATAAACCTTGACATAAAAATATTTTCAAAAATATTGACAGAAAGATTAAAAAAGGTAATCCCTGAAATCATTCATAAAGATCAAACAGGTTTTGTGTCAGGTAGGGATATTTCTGATAATACTCATAAAATCTTAAATATAATGGATCATCTAAAAATACAAAATATACAATCAGTCTTTATAGCGTTAGATGCAGAAAAAGCATTCGACAGGGTGAACGGGAAATTCGTGGGCTTGGTGATGGAGAACTTTGGCCTGACAGGATTTTTTAAAGAAAGTACAATGTCATTATATACAAACCCACAAGCTAGAGTCAAATGTCCTGGTATGGTATCTGATTGTTTTGATATTCGGAATGGCACCAGACAAGGTTGCCCTCTGGCACCACTCCTTTATGTATTAGCTATGGAACCTCTACCAGCGGCAATTAGACAAAATGATAAAATTGAAGGGCTGCAGATCCATTCAGAACATCATAAAATTACTCTATATGCGGATGATGTTATTCTAACTCTCTCTAATCCAGTAGATTCAATTACAAATTTATTGAAATTAATTTCAGATTTTGGCAATTATTCTGGCTACAAATTAAATATGAATAAAACACAAATATTAAATGGAACTGTTATAATCATAAAATAGATTATCTAGGAATTCTATATTCTATTATATCAAATATAAATAAAATTGTAGAAGTAAATTATAAGAAACTTTTATCATTAAAGACTTTTTTTTAAAATTGGAAAGGGCTAGAAATCTCCTGGATGGGAGGTATAAATACGGTCTCTGCATACATAATACCAAAATTAATCTACTTGTTTTGATCCATGCCAATACTCAATTCAAGAAAATGTTTATGAAATTAATTTAGGGGAACAAAATACCCAGAGTTTCATAAAGTACACTTACTAAAAGAGTGAATAAATGCGATCAAATCTTCCTGACATAATAGAATTACATAATTGTACCATGCTTACTCACTTTTTGAAATGGGACAATTCTATTAATCCTGATCCCAGCTGGAAAAATATGGAAACAAAAAGTAATACTCTATTTAAATTAGCTTGGATTAGTTCTGAACATTATAAAAACAATTTCATTATCAAATAAAATTGTAAATGAAACAATTACCACTCCTAAATTATTTAAAAAGAAATTGTAATGAATTAATCCCATCTGCACCAATTGAAGTTATTCAATTCTATAAGACATCAAAATGGATAGAAAATAATATCTACAAAATATAACTTAAATTGCTTCCTTGGTAGAAATTAAATCATTTATAGATATTCAAATTCAATTCAGATTGCCCAATCAAGAATGGTACTATTATGTTAGAATAAGACATTTATTAAATACCTTAAACTTCATTGACTCACACATTAAATGACAGACACATACTCACTGATACACACATTCACTCAAAGACACTCACTGGCAGACACACATACTTACTAACAGAGATGCACCCACATTCATTCACAGACACATTCACTGAAAGACACACACATTCACTCACAGACCTACACTGACAGACACACACACACATACACTGACAGACTGACACTGACAGACACACACACACACAAATTTCCTGGCAGACAGCAACTGACAGACACATACACACACACTGACAGACACACACATTCACTCACAGACACACACATTCACTGACAGACACACACTGAGAGACACACACATTCACTAACACACACATACACTAAAAGACACACTCTGACAGACACACGCATTCACCAACAGACTTACACTGACAGCCATATACACCTGTTCACTGACTCACACATTAAATGACAGACACACACTAACCGATACACACATTCACTCACAGACACACACATTCACTGACAGACTTACACAGACAGACACACACATTCACTGATGGACACACATTCCCATACACACATTCACTGACACACGATAAAACTGACACATTCACACACATTCTCTCACACACTCACAAATTATCATTTTTCCTTTTATAATTTAAATTCTTTACTTTAATAATTGAATATTCTTTATCTGGTGGTCCAGTGCTGTTTATGTCCCTGGAGTCTAGTATTTCTGCTGGGAGGGTACTTAGGTGGCCAGTCAGCCAGCTCTTGGGCCACATGAAATGAGGCTAACAGGGCATCTGCCAGGGAGTTTGGGGGGGGGGGGCACCCCCCTGAAAGTGCCACCCAAGGCAAATGCCTTGTTAGCCTTGCTGTAAATACAGCCCTGCCTGTATAGTTGCAAACCTTCCAACACTCCTTCAAAGTCACTGGAGTCTTCCAACACCTATACACCCAACCCCCAGCAAAATTTGTTATGTCTTATTAAAATATACAATAGTAAGCATAAGTAGAGCATAGGAAACAACAGCTATATATTTCAGTATATAGCTATCAGATATAAGCAGTGTGCTAGTATTGCCCTGCATATAAAAAAACACCATTGGTATTAAGAACAATTTGGCTCATGTAGACTACTTATATTACACTTCTAGCCCTGTATTGACAATTACCTAAAAATCTTACTGGTGTTAATGTACAGTCAGACTTTATGGGTCAATCTCACAAGGTAGTACACTTTTAATTATTTGTTGTATTTAGTATATATATATATTTTATACATTTTATGTACATAAAATATAATTATTGAAGGTGACTTAAATGTAAGCTATAAATTCCCTTTTTCAGTCTGTGTATACACAGAGAAAGCCAGGATGCTGGCCCATCTCATCACCACACGGTACACCTTGGCTCAAACCTAGCACCTTGCATGCACTGTACCCGCAAGAAAAGAAGTCTTCTGCATCGTATGGGCCGATCGAAGGATAGCAGAGGAAAGACACACCCAGGAGAGGTCACAGTCTTCTCTGTTGGGAGGTATCAATTTAAATATTTGTTTTATTATATTAGTTTTCCTTTTGTAATAAAAAATAAACTTAAGCAAAAACTGAGGAAAACATACAAATATGAAAATAAAAAGTCTGCTAAAGTTCAGTCATACTTTGTATACTATGCAAAGAGCAAGCAACTCACATAAGTGGTAAGATAAAGTGCTACCTTCAAATGAGCCTAAATATACCTCATAGCATCCCAACATTTTGACCGATAGGTCTAATGATCTATCAGTCAAAAACACTGGGGTCTCCACTTATATCCTGTTTTTTATATCACCCATAAGGCCAGATTTGACGTGATACTGATAAAAAACCCAAGCACCACTGCTACTGGGCTTCAACACGCACTCTAAACGATGTACATAATTAGGACGGTGCACTTGGAACCTTATCCTAGCTCTTGACTAGGTCTAACAAGAGGACAGACTTCCTCAGGTGTTTTACAGCACATAAATATCCCCCTTCACCTGATAGCTCAGCTAACACATCATCCAAGCTTTCATAACTCTGTTCACAACAGACATAAATGTATCAAAGTTATAGGCTTTGACAAGTATTGCTTATTGTCACATATTTCACCTCACCTCATGCTTTCTTGATGTAATTCTTAATTCTCCATAATAAACTTTGGGGGGGGAGGGGAGTAGGGGAACACAGGGGTGTTAGGAACTATTTAAGTTGTTTGCTCACTTCGTGATATAGTATTAGTGATGTAATTGTAATGTACTTTTGACCTCCAAACCTGTTTGTTCTTATGTTTATATGTGTATAAATAATTTATTAATGATGACTAAAATGCAGCTTTTTTTATCATCTGCTTGGGTGATTTATATTGATTCAGCCAAAGGTTGGTCCATACTTTGTCTTGAACATTTTGCTCATATAGATTCATTATTTTAAATACTTTATACATTTCATGTGATCCAATTAAAAATCTTTTTGTGATCCATTTTAGATTTAGAGTCACTCATATTGGAAAGAAACACAGTTTACAGGGATCACAAGACGACACAAATGCAAGCAGTGAGCCCATTTCATCAGACAAAGATCCTGAAGACGAGTCATGGTCAAAATCCAAGAATGGCTTAGCAACGCAAGAAACCCATGAAAAAGGGTCATTACCTTTATCAATAAATGGACCAGAAATGGTGGGCTTAGCAAAAATGGAGTTTCAAAGAGAATCAGAGATTAAATGTGTGGAGAACAATGGACTAAAGAAATTGGAGAACAAAATCCAGAAAACCACTGCAAAGACCAAAGTGTCCAAAGAAAGACGTAGCAGTGCACCAGAACAGACCGTAACGCAACGGCAGAAAGGAAACATGAAAATAGATGAACATAAACAAAAAAGACCTATAGCAACAGTCAACCCAATACAACAGGTAATCTCTTTTAAATCCCGCAAACACTATTTGTTTTACATATATAGATACATTTCTTGCACATTTCGGCCAAATAACATTTACATAGAGGTCCAGGGAATCTGGGCATATGTTCACAAAACTCAAGGAACTGCAAGAATAAACATGTATCATATAATGCATTGTAAGTTTTCTAAAAAAAAATGGTCTCTAATGAAGTAATCCACAAAAAAAAAAAGAAAATCTGAATGGATAAATGAATAAGAATTAAGTATTTGATTCATTCTAATTTGTTTTCCAGCAATATCATGCTAACTCATTAAAGTGTGGATTGGTGTGAATTCATAATAAATAAATAAAGTGCAGTAACAGCTTTAAGTCAAAATACCCAAACAAAAGATATAGAATGCTGCACTTTTTGCTTAAAGTTTGGAATTCATTTCGATTTGACTTGAAAATTCCTACTTTAGTTAATTACCCTTTTTTGTTGATTATCAATCAATACTATATTGTCCCAAACTTTTACTTTTTTATTCCTGATCATGGCAATAGGGGACTGGGAACTCAAAAATTCCTCAAAATACACCAATCTACTTTCCAGAAGTATACATAAGAACCATTCGGCCCATCTAGTCTGCCCAATTTTCTAAATACTTTCATTATTCCCTGGCCTTATCTCCTAGCTAGGATAGCCTTATGCCTATCCCACACATACTTCACTGTGTTAACCTCTACCTATTTCAGCTGGAAGGCTATTCCATGTGTCCACTACCCTCTCAGTAAAGTAATACTTCCTGATATTATTTTTAAACCTTTGCCCCTCTAATTTAAGACTATGTCCTCTTGTTGTGGTAGTGGTTCTTTTAAATAGAGTCTCCTCCTTTACTGTGTTGATTCCCTTTATGTATTTAAATGTTTCTATCATATCCCCCCTGTCTCGTCTTTCCTCCAAGCTATACATGTTAAGATCCTTTAACCTTGCCTTGTAAGTTTAATCCTGCAATCCATGAACCAGTTTAGTAGCCCTGCTCTCAACTCTCTCTAAAGTATCAATATCCTTCTTGAGATACGGTCTCCAGTACTGCGTACAATACACCAAGTGAGGTCTCACCAGTGGTCTGTACAATGGCATGAGCACTTCCTTCTTTCTACTGCTAATACCTCTCCCTATACAACCAAGCATTCTGCTAGCATTTCCTGCTGCTCTATTACATTGTCTGCCTACCTTTAAGTCATCTAAATCGCTTTCCTCAGATGTTGAGGTTAGGACTCTCAAATATTCTGTACTCTGCCCTTGGGTTTTTACATCCAAGATGCATTATCTTGCAGTTATCCACATTAAATGTCAGTTGCCACAACTCTGATCATTTTTCTAGTTTACCTAAATCATTTGCCATTTGGCTTATCCCTCCTGGAACATCAACCCTGTTACATATCTTACTATCATCAGCAAAAAGACATACCTTACCATCAAGACCTTCTGCAATATCACTAATAAAAATATTAAAGAGAATGGGTTCAAGTACAAATCCCTGATGTACTCCACTAGTGACAAGACCATGCTTCGAATATACTCCATTAAATACAACCCTCTGTTGCATGTCAGTCAGCCACTTTCTTACCCATTCAACAATATTGGATTCCAAATTTAAAGATTGCAGTTTATTGATAAGCCTTCTATGTGCAATAGTGTTAAAAGCCTTACTGAAATCTAGGTAAGCAATGTCTACTGCACCACCCCGCTCTATTATTTTAGTTACCCAATAAAAAAAAAGCAATAAGATTAGTTTGGCACGATCTCCCTGAAGTAAAGCCATGTTGTCTCTGATCTGAAAATCCATGGTTTCCATTACTGAAGTAAGGCTTACTGGCCTATAGTTGCCGGACTCCTCGCTACTAACTTTCTTGTGAATGGGCACAACATTCGCTAACTTCCAATCTTCTGGGACTACTCCTGTTAGCAATGATTGGTTAAATAAATCTGCTAATGGTTTTGCTAGTACACCACTAAGCTCTTTTAATAACTTTAGGTGTATTCCATCAGGTCCCATTGACTTATTTGTCTTTACTTTTGAAAGTTGAAATAGAACCTCTTCCTCTGTAAACTCACATGTAACAAATGACTAATTTGTCCTTTTTCCTAACTGAGGCCCATTTCCTTCATTTTCATCTGCAAATACTCATTGAGGCAGTCAGCTAGATCTTTAGCCTCTTCTACATACCTTCCTTCTTTTGTTTTTAATCTAACTACACACCAAGGATATATGTATATCCAATGTTTTTATACTGTATATGCAACTATACACAATTCACTGCCTTGTGTAGAAAGTGTGTAGTTATGTATAATTTGCATATGCATTTCTACAGTGTTGCTGTGAATGTGTGGTACTTCAGTCATCTTGTACTACAACTTATCCTGTGCCTTTCTCCATCTGTTCTCTTCGCTAACCATCCTTTATTCTTATACACCATCTTCAATATTTGTTTGCTCTAAGCGAATTGCTTTATTTTGTTGATTCTGTAACAAGCTAATTTTATATGATTTCCTTTTTGGCCACAATGTTACATTGTATAGTCCTTTATTGCTGTTCGCAAATGTCTTTTCAAAAATTAATACAAAGGTAAACATATTAAATTGTTTCTGACAGCATAACAGATTTAAAATGTTTGTTATATAAACAGAAATGATTTCTAAGGAAACAGGAAGAGGTCCCACTGGGTTTTTTAAAGTTTTGAAATAACAGAGACAGCTTTCAACTTTATTTGACTTAAAGATACACTGTCATTGTGAAAACAATGTTTCAGAATGTGTATGTTTGTATGTCAATACTCTACAGTTTGGGGTTTATGCAGTAAATTGAAAAGACAGCAAAATGAAAATCTGATTGCAAAATTCAGACTAAAATAGCTCATCTGTGATAATAGCTGATGTGGAGAATTTATATTTTGACCTAAATATTTCAATTTGCTTTAGAATGCATCACAAATCATTGTTTAAGGAGTAAACTATCTGTGGTATAATAAGAACAAAGATAACATATTGTGCCTAGCTGGTATAAATAACAGAACTAGATATATAAGATATGTGGTCAAAAAACCCACAAAAAAAAGTATTTAGGTAAATAACAGCGCAAATCACAACAACATGAAGCGGTACAATCCCCGCTCAAAGGATATAGCTGGAAGTTATCTTTGTGGATTTTGATTGTGACATATGCAAATAAAGCAAAAAAAAAAAAATTCAAAAAACAGAATAGTGCTCTCTGTATACCGTAATGTAATTTTAGGTAAAAGAAATGTACTTACATTCTTTAGTTCACCAGTATGCTCAATGAAGACAGCGTGGGTGGGTGTATTTTTTATTTTTTTTTGGTAGAGTAACAGTTACTTGTGCTTACTGAGTTGTAGAACATTTCCCATAACCATCAACAGAATAAAAGTGAATATATAAAACAGTAGTATAGTCGCAATGCGTTTCACCAATAAGGTTTTCTCAATTGACAGGTCACTTGAGAAAGCCTTAATGGTGAAATGCGTTGTAATTATACTACGGCTTTATATATTCACTTATTCTGTTGATGATTACGGGAAATGTTGTATAACTCAGTAAGCACAAGTAACTGTCACTCAAAAAAAAAAAAAATAGACCCTCGAGTTTGAAAGCAGGGGTATACACATATTGTTGTATTGATGCAAAGTTGGTCATTATTGTTCTAGCAAAATCTCTTGGCTCTGTAAGAGAGGCAGATATTTTGAAGTATGAAGTATAATACTTATTCACAATTTATGAGTAATTAATCATCTTCAGTTTACTGGGACAGATCCAAAACGAAATGCCTGCAGTGCATCTCAGACACTGGTGCTAATTGCTTTTAATGGCACTCTGAGTTATTATGAAAGCTATGACATATCCTGTAATTTCCATTCAATGTAACTGTGGAAAAAGCACACCACTCTCTTTTCAAACAAGACACTCATGTTGCTTAACAACCAATTTTAAGCCACAAAACTATATAAAATTGCATTAACCTTATACTTAAAGGGACACTATAGTCACCTGAACAACTTTAGCTTAATGAAGCAGTTTTGGTGTATAGAACATGCCCCTGCAGCCTCACTGCTCAATCCTCTGCCATTTAGGAGTTAAATCCCTTTGTTTATGAACCCTAGTCACACCTCCCTGCATGTGACTTGCACAGCCTTCCATAAACACTTCCTGTAAAGAGAGCCCTATTTAGGCTTTCTTTATTGCAAGTTCTGTTTAATTAAGATTTTCTTATCCCCTGCTATGTTAATAGCTTGCTAGACCCTGCAAGAGCCTCCTGTATGTGATTAAAGTTCAATTTAGAGATTGAGATACAGTTATTTAAGGTACATTACATCTGTTTGAAAGTGAAACCAGTTTTTTTTTCATGCAGGCTCTGTCAATCATAGCCAGGGGAGGTGTGGCTAGGGCTGCATAAACAGAAACAAAGTGATTTAACTCCTAAATGACAGTGAATTGAGCAGTGAAATTGCAGGGGAATGATCTATACACTAAAACTGCTTTATTTAGCTAAAGTAATTTAGGTGACTATAGTGTTCCTTTAAATATAGACTTCTAAGCAAAATATAAAGCAAGGAAGTTGAAAATGTTTTTATAATTGCATAAAGTTAATATCATGATTTCTGGTTGTGATGGTGAAATACTGTGCAATAATCGAAGGGCACAATAGTTTAAGCAGTAAATAAAAATATATTATCACTCTTGGCATAGACTGTGACACTTGAGCCCATACAAAATGCAAACATAGTGAAGTAGAATCTCCTTTGACCATTTGGTTTGTATGGAAATTACTGTTTAGTTAGAGAAGACAGGAGACCTACGTGGTATAACACTGAATAGGAGGCCACATAGGGAAAAAAATAGCACATTTTGGAAAGAAGTAACAGTGAGCTTCATATGCTGTGGCAGAACCAACGCAGAGAGGACCATGGTTCAAGCATTTCTTCATAAAACTTCCACAATGCTTTGCCAGCTGTGATTGTACCCATCTTTTTAGGGTTGTATTTACCACTGAACAGTGTTTGTGTGTTCTTATGTAAGTATGTTTTTGTTTGATGTATGTGTGAGGCAGTGTAGGGGTGTGTTTGTATGTAGTGTTGGAGGCTGGCTGTAGTTGATCACTCTCCCCCTTTTCTTTGCCTTCTTCTGTTTCACTGCTTAATACTTTGCCATTTAGGAGTTAAATCACTTTTGTTTCTGTTTATGCAGTCCTAGCCACACCTCCTTGGCTGTAACTCACACAGCCTGCATACAAATATGGTTTTTAATCACTTGTTAACTTACTTTCAAATTTTTTTATCTCCTGCTCTGTAAATTGAACTTTTTAATCACACACAGGAGGTTACTGTAAGATCTAGCAGGATATTAACAGTGCAGGCGATACATTCTAAATTTAACAAACTGTGGAATAAAGTTTTATCTTATAAATTACTTTACAGGAAGTGTTTAGGAAGGGTGTGCATATTCCATGCATGGAGGTGTGACTAGGCCTGTATAAACAAAGTGATTTAACTCCTAAATGGCAAATAATTGAGCAGTGAGACTGCAGGGTCCACCATTGTTTGGATTTTGGTATGGGCTAGTTCACCAAAATGCTGGTATTCTCAGGCTACCCCAGTGGGATATTTCCTGGTGGACTGCAGTATCTGGGTGAGAGCAGCCAGCCATACTATGATAAGTATGTATGATATCCTTGGAGGCATTAACAAGTGATTAGATGAGGAAAAGAGACATTGGTCATGCTGGCACTGAAATTGTAGCATGTAGGCATAAACAAATCTCTATGGATGCTCCTTTGTACTGTGAAAATGGAAGATATAGGGTGTTGTAAATTTATTATGGTTATTCTATGAAAAAGAGGCACTTGGTCATAGGACCTGCATTTTGTTATGCTCAGTTTTCGTTCATCTGGGCAGAGTTGGGTCAGAATTAGATATCATTCATTTTTATGTGTCTTTAAGAGATGATGTGAAATGTAGATCCCATGATCAAACTACATTTATTACTAGTGGTTTGATATATTTATCGAAAAAGGCAATTTAAAGACTTATGCACAGCAAAAAAATAATAGTTTTATCGATCTGATTATTCTGAATAAAAATGTTGGTTTCGTCCATACGGCAGTTAGGTTCAGATGAATTTTGTCAATGCAATCATTTTAGGAGAAACACTTTAAAAGTGCAAGTTAATAACATGGTAGCTCCCCAGTGCTTGCTAGGCAGCCCACACATTACAATGTTAAAAGTAATAATAATAAGAAAGCCTATGGGGTTTAAAACCCTATATTAGTACAGTGGAGGTGTAATACATTCTTTACACCTCCACCCATCATTCCCTGGGTGGAAGCATGTCTACTAATAGCCTTCAGCTGCTCACTGTTTTTAAAAAGTAGGAACTAGTCCCTATGAATGGATCCATCATATAGGGATGCGACCGGGAAAATACGTGGGGAGTCCTAGCACAAGACCAACCATGGTCATCCAGTGGGGGGCTTAAAATTCAATTATGCAGGGTGAACAGCTCACTGTCCACCCCCCAAATCCCACAGTGGCTAGTGGGTGCGGTGTCTATAAAAAAAACATAACAGAACATCCTGAACAGTCATGTGTGGCTAGTGGGGGCTCTAAAATGTAACTTGGGGATACTAAACAGTCCTTCCTAGTCTCCGCCAACATGCAATGGTTGGGGGCTATTACTATAATAACTGGATGGGACAATCAATTGCTCCCACAGCTCCCTCCCATGGGTGGTGGGTGGTGGCCATGTTAAAATGAATAGGCTTTGGTTGGGGGCATATTAAAAGAAACAGGGAGTGGTCATGCATGAAACAATATTCAGAAATAATAGGAATTTCAGTACAGTAAGATCTTTTTTGTTTCTTTAAAATATCACTTGTTTTGTCTTTGCTACAGGTCAGTAAAGAGACTTCCTCTCAAAAACAATGACAAGTAAGTATTTCATTGAAATACCTCAAAAGAAATTAGTATAAAAAAGCCATTGATTCTCTAAAATTTCCATACTAGAATGACACATGCAGAAAGATATAATTCCATCATTGATTGAAAAATATCTGTGATGATAAAGTTACCAGAAGTACTCAACCCCTGAAATTAAATTAAATTATTTTAATTAAAATTGAGAACCCATGTTTGTAGTCAGTGGCATACACACAATCCATGGGGCCCCCCTCACCTCTCACCCCTTCCCTGCCCCAATCCGTGGGCCCCCCAACACATACATAGACACAAACACATACACAGAGACACCCCCCGACAGACACATACAGACACACACATACATACACACAGACAAACACACACATACACACATACAGAGACACACACACACATACAGAGAAACACACACAGACACACACAAAACAGAGACACACATACAGAGACACACACACACACACACATATATAGAGACACAAACATACAGAGACACAGATACATACAGAGACACACATACAGAAACACATTTACATACAAACACACACATACACAAAATGCTTCCTACCTTTTGTTACTTTCCCTGGGGTCCAATGGTGGCTCAGCCTGATGGCAGTCAGAGTTCCCACTATGACTCCCTCCTCCTTCCTGCTTCCTCCCGCGCGGTCTCTCTGTATGCTGGGAGGAGTGACCGGGTAGTTACTTCGTCCCAGCATTGTCATCAGAGGGGGCCCAGTCGCGCTGTGAAAGCGCCCAGTGCAGACTGGGCCCCCTCACAATCCATTTCCATGAGGTGGCCCTGACAGCATGGACCACCCGATGGACCCCTTAACATGCAGCCCCAGTGGTTTGCGGCACGGGCCGGGGCCGCAAAACTTGGCAGCTGGTACCCAGTCGCGGGGGTCCGCAGTGGGGCCGGGCCACCTGGAGTGACTGCCCCGGTTGCAGCTGTGACCCCTGCGGCCGTGGTATGTTAGACGCTGTTCGTAGTGACACCTTTGAAAACCAAGGGGAAAAAAAACAAAATAGGTTTATTCTTCACTAAACCATTAATTGTGGAGCAATTGAAGGGAAATTACAAATGTTGGGCAAACACAGCCAACCTGAAAAAGGATCTTAGTTAGAGAACGTTTCAGTAGTTGGTATCAATAACTGCCATTTTTTCCTACTAGAAAATATCAACTAAAAATTGTCTCAGCCGTAAATGTGAGCATCGGTACTGGACCGTGGAGCAATGGAAGAATTTGCTTGGTCTGATGAATCACATTTTGTTTTAGATCAGGTGGATGGCTGTGTGCATCGTTCACCGGGGGAGGAGAGGGCAGCAGGATGCACTATGGGAAGAAGGCAGACGGTGGAAGCATCATGTGGATGCTACTTGACACATACCACCTATCTAAAGATTCTTGCAGACCACGTACACGCCTTAATGGAAATGATGTTCCCTGAAGCCAGTGACCTCTTTTAGCAGTTTAATACACCCTGCCGCACTGCAAAAATTGCTCAGGAATGATTTTCCTTGTCACCCATATTTCCCAGATCTCAATCTGATTGAGCATCTCTGGGATGTGCTGGAACAACAAATCGGATCAATGGAGGTCCCACGTCACCACATTTATTCTGCAGCCTGAGCCCACTCATAACATGCAAAAAAATGCTGGCGCAAGATGTAAAATAGATTAACTTATTGAATCTATTTTAGTCTGAAGCCCTTAGAGGCTGTCTAAATGAAAGCTGCAAGAAAAGTGGAGATTGCAAAATAAGTGCAAAGTAAGAAGGTCAGCAGCTGTGCCCCAAAATCAGTTTACTAAGATTAAAGGGTTACTCCAACCAAATAAAAGATTTTTTTAATAAAAGAGTAACCCTTGGTCCTTCTGACAAACTGTAAAAAAATAAAGGAAATACAAGAAATTACCTCCATTCCATCGCTTTGTCCAAGTTCTCCCCTCAGCATGATGCTTTTTGGGTGACATTACTCCCCCATTGCCAAAGGGGAGGGAGGTCAGGGACAATGGGGCTTTATATGGGGGTGGGGTGCAGAGTCTGTCTAGTACTAGCATGTTGTGAGTGAAAGTGTGAGACACTAGTTTGCACATAATTTATATTAGCCAGCTTACCTCCATCAGCTAAGGGGTTATCAAGTTTAATGCCAAAATAGCTGGAAGTATGGCTGACTTAGATAATTCTTAAATTCACTTAGTTCCTGACAATTTTCATTTTAGTAAATCATACTGATGGTATCCTTTAGAAGCAAACTATGTACATAATTGCATGTTATCCATATATTAAATAAACATTGTGCTAATTATGCTTATTTCTTTTTATAAAAATAACTTGGTAATTACCGGATATACTCGTGAATAAGTCGATCTAATGTATAAGTCGAGTGCAGTTTTGTGACCAACAATTGTGAAATATGCTATGCCTCGTGGATAAGTCGAGGGTAAAACTTGGGGCTATGAAATTCTGTGATTTTTATAATTATATACACACACACACACTTATACAAACACACACTCTGCATTATACACACACACACTCATACAAAAACACACTCTGCATTATATATATATACACACACACTCATGCAAACACACACTCTGCATTATATACACACACTCTGTGTATATAATGCAGAGTGTGTGTTTGTGTAGTCTGTGTGAACTGGGTGGGGGGAGGGCATTTTTATTATATAAAAAAAAAATTTATTTTATTTTTTTATTATTTTAATTTTATTTTGTCCCCCCTCCCTGCTTGTTAACTGGTCAGGGAGGAGGGCTATCTTAATCCCTGGTGGTCCAGTGGCATGGGCTGTGAAGTGGGGGGGGCCGGCAGGAAGCATTTACTTACCTTTCCTGCAGCTCCTGTCAGCTCCCTTCTCCTCCGTTACAGTCACCTCCACTGTAAGTCTCGCGGTCTGGTTGCCGCACGGATCGTTGCCATGGCTCTGACAGCCGCGGCTCTCTAAATTGCCATAATACAGACAGTGACTCGAGTATAAGTCGAGTGGGGGTTTTTAAGCACAAAAAATGTGCTGAAAAACTAGACTTATACTCGAGTATATACTGTAAGTAGTTAAATGTCTGATTATGTCAGCTGAAATCAAATAAACAAAGTTTAGGCTAAAATAGCTGAGCTGTAAAATTATCTCCATCATTGGAATTGAAGATATTTTTGTTCAGCTAAACTATTTATCATTTATTTTGCAAGTTTGCTCTCAGCTAACTAGAACTCTTTGTTACATCTCTCTCTCTCTCTTATAGATAGGTACGGAAAAATTTGGACACTGACACAATTTTCATACCACAGTGGATTTCATATGAAACAACCAGGATGCAATTGAAGTGCAGGTTTTCAGCTTTAATTCAAGGGTTTGAACAAAAATATCACATGAAACGTTCAGGAATTGCAACCATTTTCATACACAATTCCCTTATTTCAGGGGATCAAATGCAATTGGACAAATTAACACAATCATAAATAAAATGTAAATTTTTATTAAATTATCAAGAATTCTTTACAGGCAATGACTGGTTGAAGTTTAGAACAAATGGACATCACCAAACACTGGGTTTCATCCTTCAATTGTTCGTTTGTGGGTCTTTCTGTCTTATGTTTTATCTTCAGCAAGTGAAATGCATACTCAATAAAGTTGAGATCAGGTGGTTCACTTGGCCATTGCAGAGTATTTCATCACTTTCATAGGATGTTTTGGGTTATAGTCCATCTATAAATAAAGAGCCATCCAATCAACTTCACTCCATTTGACTTAATCTGAGCAGACAACATATGCCTATACACTTCAGAATCTGGCTGCTTCTTTCTTCTGTCACATCATCAATAAACACTAGTAAAGCAGTGCCATTGGACATCATGCATTCCCATTCCATCACACTGCCTCCACCGTGTTTTACAGATTATGTGGTATGCTTCCGATCATGAGCCATTCCAAGTCTTCTCCATACTTTTTTCTTCCAGTCATTCTGGTACAGATTCATCTTAGTTTTATATGTCCAAAGAAACTGTTCCAAAACTGAGATGGCTTTTCAAGATGTTCTTTTGGCAAAATCTAATCTGGCCTTTCTATTCTTGAGGCTTGTAAATAGTTTGCACCTTGTGGTGAACCCTCTGTATTTGCTCTTGTGAAGTCTTCTCTTTATGGTGGGCTTAGATAATGACATGCCTACCTCCTGGAGAGTGTTCTTCACTTGGTTGGATGTTGTGAAGGGGTATTTTCTTTTTCCAAGGAAAGGATACACCACTGTTGTTTTCCAGTGACGTCCAGGCCTTTCTGTGTTGCAGAGCTCACCAGTGCATTCTATTTCTTTTAGAATGTTAATTTGATCACTCCTAATGTTTCTGCTATCTCTCTGATAATTTTTTTATTTTATTTCTGAAGGCTAAGGAAGGCCTGTTTCACTTGCATTGAGATGATCGCATGTTGTGGGTTTATATCAACAGCTTCCAAATTTCAATGCCACACCTCAAATCAACTCCAGACCTTTTACCTTCTTAATTGATTAGGAAATACCAAAAGGATAGCCCACACCTGTCCATGAAACAGCTTTTGAGTCAATTGTCCAATTACTGAATTTATTTTGTTAAAGGACCACTCTAGGCACCCAGACCACTTCAGCTTAATGAAGTGGTCTGGGTGCCAGGTCCCTCTAGGATTAACCCTTTTTTTGTTTATAATAGGGTTAATTTAGCCTCCAAAGCCTCTAGTGGCTGTCTCATTGACAGCCGCTAGAGGCGTTTGCGTGCTTCTCACTGTGAAAATCACAGTGAGAAGATGCCAGCGTCCATAGGAAAGCATTGTAAATGCTTTCCTATGAGACCGGCTGAATGTGCATGCAGCTCCTGCCGCTCATGCGCATTCAGCCGAAGAGGAGGATCGGAGGCGGAGAGGAGGAGGAGAGCTCCCCGCCCGGCGCTGGAGAAAAGGTATGTTTAACCCCTTTCCTCTCCCCAGAGCCTGGCGGGAGGGGTACCCTGAGGGTGAGGGCCCCCTCAGGGCACTATAGAGCCAGGAAAAACTAGTATGTTTTCCTGGCACTATAGTGGTCCTTTAAACAGCCTAAATTACAAGACTTGTATCAGTGGAAAAATATTTCCAGACCTAACTGTATATGTATATTAAATATTTTATTGAAAATTTTTTTTTTCTTCAATGTACTCATGTCTGACTTTTGTTACAGTTTATCTCTATCCAGTTGTTCATCCATTAGACTTGCAAAGGAATATATAAGGCCGTTTGCTGAATTTGATCTGAATCTTTATCAAAGCCAAGAGAGGTTTAGCAATGAGCAATGTTTTTGTATTTTTTAAAGAAATATGGGTTACTATTTGTTAAAGTGAACTTTCACTATAAACTATGCCATTAACTATCAGTACACTCCATATATACCTCATATATATCATGGGTATCATTATTATGATAACACAGCACAATAAAAAGCTGTTCTTGTTTGAAAATATAATTTAAAGTAGCACACCTGCTTTTTTCAGAGGCCACATTGGTAATTAAAAATAAATGAAATAAAAAATAAAAGGAGGTAATAGTTGTATAACCCAATAATGAGGAGAAAATTGCTGGTATTTTTCCCTGATAGGCTCACTACTGGTAACCTGAAGTTTCACACTGTTTATGTGCGATATATGTCTTCTCTAGCCATAAATACAGTAACAGTGTTACTCTCAAAAGTCTTAGTTCCTTAAATGGACACTTTGGCCACCAATGCAACTTTTAATGTATTTAATAGATTTTGGTCTCAATAATATGCTATATTTTTGCATGCTCAAATATTTATAGTTTTTGCACAAATAATAAATATTTTGCAAAATGCTGCATTAGATGCCTTTCTACTTAGCCACGTCCCCTCATGCCAGGAAAACTTCCTTACCAGTATAGGTGCACAACTTAGACCAGGCATAGGCAACCTTCTGCACTCCAGATGTTTTGGACTACACCTCCCATGATGCTTTGCCAGCAATATGGGTGTAAGAGTATTATGGAAGATGTAGTCCAAAACATCTGGAGTGCCGAAGGTTGCCTATCCCTGGCTTAGACAGTCAGAGACACTATAGACAACTATCGACAAACTAGTATTGCTGCCGTGTATTTCAGATCACTTAGTGCTGTCAATGGTTGAGTGTATATATACATTTGTTTAAAAAAAAAAAAAAAAAGTATTAAAGTTCTTTGGTGCCTGAAGTGTCCTTTTAAGAAATAAATAAAAATAATAAAAAATACAAGTGAGAATAATCTGTTTCCAGGAAACAACTCCTTCCTTTTGAGGGCAGAGGAAAGAAAATGGAGAAGTAAACTACAGTATTTGCCTTATTCCATGATGTGGAATGATAAATCAGAACTGCCTCACACAGTTGAAAAGAGATACAGAGTACTGATGTAAGTACAGCAACACTAAAGCTGCGAAAGAACAAGATATAAGAGAAAAAGTAAACTGTTGTGTTGGAGAGAGTGTACAATCCACATATGTACATCTAGAGATATAGAGAGCCAGCACTTTACTTACACACACAGACAGACAGACACACACACACACACACACAAACAATAGTAGATATATGTCATCCCATTATTGCATAATTTTCAAATATGCATTCACAAACGAAGTTCAAAAACACTGAGCAAGATGTCTGACATTGTAACTATATTGTTCACATTTGCCTTCTGTCAGAACAAGTCATTAATAATAATTTATCCCCCTGCACTTATTCTGCAATTATTTGCCAAATATATAAATCTAAACAGTATATATATTTTGTATATTTACTAGACTGAATTATAATTTGTCCTAATTTGTCCCTAAATAACATTCTATGCACAAAATTGTTGTTTTGTCTTTATAATGTGATCCTGCTATGCTTAATGTGTCCAATAAAATATATGAATTCCATACAACCAACACAATTGGGTTCTGGTATTTTTATACGTATATATATATATATATATATATATATATTTACTGTTTGCAGTGCCGGCGAAACCACTAGGTGGAGTAGGCAGTCACCTAGGGACGGTCTCTGTATGTTGCGTGGCTGAACCATGGACTGAGGTAGAGGGACTGGCTTCCCTCTACCCAGTCTGAAAGGAAGTGGAGCGTCAAACTGCTTCCTGTCAGACTGTCTGAGTAGAGGAAAGAAAAGCTACTCTAGTGCAGTCCAGGGCTAAGTCACGCTACACACAGTAGGGAAGCGAGCAGGCACAGGTTGAGAGGGGTTATGGAGATGCACGGAGGGGCTGGGAGGTTTACAGAAATGCATGAAGGGGCAGGGGGTTACTGAGATGCATGGATAGGCTTGTAGTGTTACTGACACACATGGAGGGGTGGGGGGTTACTAAGATATGTTGAGGGTCTCGGAGGGTTACTGAGACACATGGAGGAGCTTGGGGGTTAATGACACACATGGAAGGGCTGGGAGTGTCTGAGACACATGGAGGGGCTAGAAGTGCCTGGAGAGGCACAATGGAGAAGGGGAAGAGGCACACAGAGGGATGGAGGGGCAGAGGAAAACACAGAGGTTTTAGGGGAAGATGCACACAGAGGTTTGAGGGGAAGACACACAGAGGGCTGGAGGCAGGACTGGACTGGCCCACCGGGATACCAGGAAATTTCCCGGTGGGCCGCAGCACCTGGGGCTGGGCTGACAGCCCTAATCATTGCTCGGACTCCTGTAATCCCGGCCGGCCATGTGTGAGCTGTGCCGGCGGGGATCATTAAAAAAAAAAAATTGCGGCGGAGTTGGGGCTTAGGTGCGGCGGGGGCCTGGCTAACTGCAGCATGGGAAGCAGGAAGGAGTCCCTGCTTCCCCAACAACCAGCCTCCAGGAGCTTCAAGCAGGAGGTAAGAAGCAGGTCAGTGTGTCTCTGTGTGACTGCCTGTGTGTGTGTGTGACTGTCTGTGTGTGTGTGACTGTGTGTCTGTCTGTATGTGTGACTGTGTGTGACTGTCTACCTGTGTGTGACTGTCTGCCTGTGACTGTATGTGACTGCGTGTGTGACTGTCTGCGTGTGTGACTGTCTGCCTGTGAGTGTGTGACAGTCTGCCTGTGTGTGGCTGTCTGCTTGTGTGTGTGTGTGGCTGTCTGCCTGTCTCTGTATGTGTGGATGTTTGCCTCGGTGTCAATGACTGTCTGCCTCTGTGTGTGTGTGTGTGTGCACGCATCTGCTAGTGAGGGAGCCTCTGTGTGTGTGTGCCTGCTAGTGAGTGAGCTTGTATGTGTGTCAGTGAGCTTGTCTGTAGGGATCATATGTGTGTGTGTTAGTGAGCTTGTCTGTAAGGAGCATGGGTGTGTCGGAGCCTGTCTGTGGTGAGCATGTGTGTACAGTGAGCTTGTCTGTAGTAAGCATGAATGTGATCGTGAGCTTGTCTGTAGTGACCATATGTGTGTCAGTGAGCTTGTCTGTAGTGAGCATGTGTGTGTCCGTGAGCTTGTCTGTAGTGAATCTGTGTGTTAGTGAGCTCTTCTGTAGTGAGCATGTGTGTGTGACAGTGAGCTTGTCTGTAGTAAGCTTGTGTGTGTATCAGAGTTTGTCTGTACTAAATTTGTGTGTGTGCCAATAACCTTGTCTGTGTGTGTCATTGAGATTGTCTGTCAATGAGCCTATTTGTGTGCATCAGTAAGATTGTCTGTGTCTGTGTGAGAGTATGCTTTACTGTATAATTTAATTACTCTAAAATAACTAATATTTTGAATTAGAAGAAGAAATGTATCAATAATATATATATATATATATATATATATATATATATATAAATACTGTTGCATCACTAGGGCTCCAGTATCCAGGCAATTGAAATAGTTGGCTGCACTCTCAGATTTCCTTAAAACGTAACTTTTATTGAAATATTTAAGAGAAGATCAATGTTTCAGTCCCTCTTGTGGACTTTCGTCATGATCCTGATGCACGTCCACAAGAGGGACTGAAACGTTGATCATCAATAAAAGTTACATTTTAAGGAAATCCGAGAGTGCAGCCAACTATTTCAATTGTATATATATATGGGGCTGGCATATATTATGGGGCTGGCATATATTTTTTTTTCAGGGTTGCTTCATATCCCCAGTCCAGCCCTGGCTGGAGGGGACAAAGACACACAGAAAGGCTGGGGTGTGAAGAGAGACACAAAAAGGGTCTGGGGTGAGAAAGAGAGCCACAAAGTTGGGTGACAAAGTGACAGAGAGAAGTGCTAGTGGGACAAAAAGACACAGACAGGGGCCGCGGAGGACAAAGAGACACACAGAGGGGCTGGGAGGGACAAAGAGGCAGAGTGGCTGGGTAACACAAAGGGGCTGGAGGGGGAGGTGGAGGGAGAGGGGCTAGAGACACGCAAAGAGGTTGTGGGAAGAGGCACACAGAGGCAGGGGGAGAAAGAGACCCACTAAGGTGCTGTTTGGGAAGAGATGGGTTAAGGAAGAGGAAAAAGAGGCACACAAAGAAGCGAAAGAGACACACAAAGAAGCTGGGAGAAGAAAGAGAAACACAAAGTTGGCAAATTTAGTTTTTTGAAGGGGGTGCAAATAGCTGGTCTTGCCTATGGTGCAAAATAATCTTGCACTGGCCCTGAATGTTGGTTGCTTTGTACCGAAGCTGAAGAGGATAAAATAATGAATGCTTCTTCAATAACACAAATTTAGTCAGGCTTCTGTAACCCACATTTTTGTAATTTATTATATACACCGAACAAATATCGTTCACAAATCTGTCTAAATCTGTGTTAGTGAGCACTTCTCCTTTGCATGTGTGGCATATCAAGATGCTGATGAGACAGCATGATTATTGCACAGGTGTGCCTTAGACTGGCCACAATAAAAGGCCACTCTAAAGTGTGCAGTTTTATCACACAGCACAATGCCACAGATGTCACAAGTTTTGAGGGAGTATGCAACTGGCATGCTGACTGCAGGAATGTCCACTAGAGCTGTTGCCCGTAAATTGAATTTCTCTACCACAAGCCATATGAAAGGTGTTTCAGAGAATTTCGCAGTACATCCAACTGGCCTCACAAATGCAGACCAAATGTAACCACACCAGCCCAGGACCTCCACATCCAGCATCTTCACCTCCAAGATCGTCTGAGACCAGCCACCTGGACAGCTGCTGCAACAATCGGTTTGCATAAACAAATAATTTCTGCACAAACATTCAGAAACCGTCTCAGGCAAGCTCATCTGCATGCTTGTCGTCCTCATCGGGGTCTCGACCGACTGCAGTTCGTCGTCTTAACCAACTTGAGTGGGCAAATGTTCACATTCGATGGCTTCTGGCACTTTGGAGAGGTGTTTTCTTCATGGCTGAATCCCGGTTTTCACTGTACAGGGCAGATAGCAGACAGTGTGTATAGCATCGTGTTGGTGAAGGGTTTGTTGATGTCAACGCTGTGGATCGAGTGGCCCATGGTGGCGGTGGGGTTATGGTATGGGCAGGCATATGTTATGGACAACAAACACAGGTGCATTTTATTGATGGCATTTTGAATGCACAGAGATACCGTGATGAGATCATGAGGCCCATTGTTGTGCCATTCATCCACGACCATCACCTCATGTTGCAGCATGATAATGTGCGGCCCCATGTTGCAAGGATCTGTACACAATTCCTGGAAGCTGAAAACATCCCAGTTCTTGCATGGCCAGCATACTCACTGGACATGTCACCCATTGAGCATGTTTGGGATGCTCTGGATCGGCAAATACGACAGTGTGTTTCAGGTCCTGCCAATATCCAGGAACTTCGCACAGCCATTGAAGCGGAGTGGACCAACATACCACACACAATCAACAACCTGACCAACTCTATGCAAAAGAGATGTGTTGCACTGCATGAGGAAAATAATGGTCACACCAGATACTGACTGGTTTTGGACCTCTAAGGACCCTCGTATTACATTAACCCCTTAAGGACGGAGCCAAATGTACACATTGTGAACAAAACAAAATGTAAACAAAACCTGGCATTTGCGCTACATGTCTGTCCAACCGTAATACACCTCTTTCATAGTAAATGCACCCACCCTTATTATATATCATTTTATTCAGGGGAAACAGGGCTTTCATTTAATATCAAATATTTAGCTATGAAACATAATTTAATATGAAAAAAATGGGAGAAAATACGATTTTTTTGATTTTTTTAGTTCTAAATTGCATTTTAAAGGTCAGTGTCATAATACTGTTTGATTTTACTGCAATAAAATACACATATTTGTATTTAGTAAAGTCTCACGTGTAAGACAGTACCCCCTATGTACAGGTTTTATGGCGTTTTGGGAAGTTACAGGGTCAAATATAGCACGTTACATTTGAAATTGAAATTCGCCAGATTGGTTACGTTGCCTTTGGGACTTTATAGTAGCCCAGGAATGAAATTTACACCCACAATGGCATACCATTTGCAATAGTAGACAACCCAAGGTATTGCAAATGGGGTATGTCCAATCTTTTTTAGTAGACATTTGGTCACAAACACTGGCCAAAGCTAGCGTTAGTATTTGTTTGTGTGAAAAATGCAAAAAACGCCAATTTTGGCCAGTGTTTGTGACTAAGTGGCTACTAAAAAAGACTGAACATACCCCATTTGCAATACCTTGGGTTGTCTACTATTGCAAATGGTATGCCATCATAGGGGTAATTTTCATTCTTAGGCTACCATAGGGTCTCAAAGGCAACGTAACCAATCTGGCGAATTTTAATGTGAAAAAAACGAAACACAAGCCTTATATTTGACGCTGTAACTTTTGAAAACACCATAAAACCTGTACATGAGAGGTACTGTTGTACTCGGGAGACTTCGCTGAACACAAATATTTGTGTTTCAAAACAGTAAAAAGTATCACAGCAATAATATTGTCCGTGTAATACTGTTTGTGCGTGAAAAATGCAAAAAACTTCACTTTTACTGGCGATATC